GATGGGATCCGACTCTGTCAATGAATATCCACTTCCGTCTCCGCTTAGAAGAAGACCCGCCCAGACTGAATTATAGGTTACGTCCAACGCCTTCTCTAATAAATAGAGAAGGCCGTGGTTACGTCGTACCCGTTTTGTGGAGCTGGAATACAACTGTGCCACGTGGCTGTACCGGCTGGATCTTGTTTGATTCTCTTTCTTGAGATGTTAATCCTACAGACTGCAATCGTGAAGAGAACAGAAGCAATGAGTTCGAAACCACGGAAGACGGTGCTGTTTTCAAAATTGTGTGCTGGCTATCTTGCGAGATGTATTACAGATATTTAAACGTAGTATAACTTGTAGACTCTAGAAGTCACTTCAGGGCTGTCAGACATTTTCAGGTTAACTACATATCACGGCTTGTCGACAGACGCGCTGGCCACCCGTCTAGAACCTACAGTACAACTTGAACATGGAGACATGGGGGCACAATTCAACAGAAACTAGTGCGGCTCTGAAGCTTACATGCTAGTGAAACTGTTTCTCCGTTACTGGACTACCGAGGCTTGGCTGCTGAGGGTAGGCGGTTTACAAAAGGTCGTTCAAGCAGCAGTACGAGAGTCATACCACTGAAGAGACTGAGGGTAAAATTTACAAAGACAACAGTGTACGCGCGGTAGCTAACCTTTACATGGAGACGGCACCACATCTACTACAGAACAACTCAAACAAAAAGTCAAAGTGCATCTGCCTGAGAGGCTAGGAACCAACAGTTTGTATAGACATAAGCCTTCCGGTTAAAATGGACGCTAGACAGCGGCGCTGTTCGAAGCAGAGGCAAATGTGTTTGCTTCTGCCGGACGGTGGCCGAAGTATTTTTGCTCCATTTGTAGACTGGATATAGTTTCGTCGCCCAGCTTCTGAGTTGAATGCATGGCGTGACACTGTGAGCTGCGGATTGCATTTGGAATGTATTTTCGACTGTGACCGACGTGGTGGTGTGAATTGTAGATTCAGAAAATGGCGTGCAATGTTGGCGGTGCCCGTATCTGGTTAAAATTGATCGCGTGGACAACTACTGAACTGTTGGCGACAAGTTCTGCTATCATCAATGATTAACTGCATTTCTAATGTTGGACTGTTTGTGTTAGCACTTCGGATGGCTACCGTATGCTTTAATGCGAGTGTATGCTAGATATGCTGAGACAACAGTCTGTCAGTCTTTCCACAAGGGACTGTGATAAACATTCTGGGTGTTTTTCGTTGGCACAGGAGCGGAGCAAAGATGGGGCGACCTGTTGCTATGAAGCTGAAACTAAGACTACCAGACTACCAGACATAGACATAAGCCTGATTTGTAAAAGCGATGTGCAGGCAAAACTCAAGTGGAAGAACAACCAGAACTTTCTGCCGACGTTCAACAACCGATAAACGGGAACAAGAAGATTAAAAGCTGCCAGAAAGCTCCGTGGAGAGTGCAGGAAAATCTCGAAAATTATAACCTCTGGACCGAGCCTTGACGCAGAAATCACAAGCGATTGGGTGAAAGAAATAACCTCAGCATCACGTGATATCTAAAACTACCCCCCCCCCCCCCACCCCCTCCTCTTTTGATTCAGTACAGAAAAACGACAATCATCATCTCCTAACTGTAACTTTTCCATGCAATGTTTTCAGCATCAATGCCTTTGTGGTCAATGCACAGAACGAATTATCTGTTGCGTCTGCGATTCCACAGATCCATCCATCGATCGCGCAGTCTGCCATTTTGCTGTTGTCGCCGTTTCTACATATCTATGACGCCTGTTGTATGCTGTCTAGGACAATTTACTGAACCGGTGGGCCGCACGAAAGTTTAGACGGGCCGCCAAAAATGTCTGCCTAATCATGTAACGAGTTTGGATAGATAGTTGTTCTCTTCCAGGATTGCAGTTTTTAGGATTAACACCCCAAATATGAGGATCAAAAGATGTTGCATCCGCTTACAATGTAAAAAATATCTGTGACATCGGATTTAACACATACAACTACTATCCACGTGTCTTGATGTTTCTGTGTTTGGTTAGCTGTCAGGTGGGCGGAGAAACAAATCCCACTGTTTTGGTGAGCCGTGGGTGTATACAGGTTATATAACACTCACCTGGGGAATATTGTTCTCATACAATAGCACCTCGATAAACATACTTAATCAGTTCGAAATCCTTGGAAGTATAGCAAATAGTACGTATAGCAAAACAGTACGTATAGCCAACGGATCTTCACAAAAGACGTAAAAGGAACATGATTAACACGCTCCCATTTAAAACAAAACAAAAAAACTACTGCTATTCTATTTTAAACAGTGATGGGTGTTGTATAAAATAATGTATATACTGTCTCATACTAAAATACATAAATACACAAACAATGAGGTGAAATAAATAACACTTTAACCTCACTTCGCAGAAAAAAGCCGAATGCCCAGTAGGCTGGTGATGAGAGAAGAGGGGAGGAGATGTAACTTTCGAAGGAGAGTCACTTTCCAATATAATTTTATAAATCTGAAATTCTATTTTTTTTTTTTTTTTTTGTTTAATTGTCCTTTTCCCTAAATGGACCTATTTAAGGCTTATCAGGTTAGACTTTTTTTCAAATCTGTCTAAAGAACTTTGCTTCAGCCATCTTCTCAGGACTACTAGACAGTCAACTCTTCATGGGCTACTGAATACAAGGACGGATCACGTGTGGGAATGCACCGAGCGCAGCAATGTCAATTCCTGGTTCATTCACTCATTGGTCAGGATGTTTCGTAAACGTGAGAGTGTCTGGTCATTGCAAACAATGCTATTACGGGTTGTCAGCTGGGATATGTTAGGGTTATCTATTCAAGACGACGCTAACGCAATATATAGACGACTCCTTCAGATTTCAAACTTCCCTTCATTCCTCACCTCCTCTATCCCTGCCCCTTCGCTTCCTTCGATGAAGAAGAAGAAGAAGAAGAAGAAGAAGAAGAAGAAGAAGAAGAAGAAGAAGAAGAAGAAGAAGAAGAAGAAGAAGAAGAAGAAGAAGAAGAAGAAGAAGAAGAAGAACAAAGAAGAAGAAAAACAACAACGATGAAGAAGAAGAAGAAGAAGAAAAGAAGAAGAAGAAGAAGAAGAATAATAGAATCGGTCTTATCTCGAAAACAAGAAGAAGAAGAAGAAGAAGAAGAAGAAGAAGAAGAAGAAGAAGAAGAAGAAGAAGAAGAAGAAGAAGAAGAAGAAGAAGAAAAAGAAGAAGAAGAAGAAGAAGAAGAAGAAGAAGAAGAAGAAAAGTGGTCATATTCAACTGTGAACACACCCTCTTATCTCAGTGGTCATATTCAATGTACCCTCAAGTTCTCATAATCCCCCCCCCCCCCCCCCCCCCCTACCCCCTCTAGGGGATCCGCTAACAAATCTTCTACTATAAAAAGTTAACTAACTCCCACGTTGAATTCAATGAACGCTTCATGCAAATGCTGACGATGTCAAATTCTGCTTTAAGATTATGCACGTCTGCAAATTTCCCGCACAAACAGCAGCCTCAGTCAGTTCACACTGATGATGTCCCATCATCCGGTCGTTTCTCATTTCCTCTCCTGTTAACTCTTTCCTCCTTCCTCTCTCCCTCAGCCTAAGGGTGATTACCGCAATCGTTCCATCGCCCTTTGTCTTACACGATTCATTGCCCATTCTATTTCCGTTACTGTTAGCTCGCCTTTCCCTACATAAACGATGTGATTTATTTCCAGCAAAGGCGGGGGGGGGGGGGGGGTGACTGCCTCTCCGTCCAACATTTTCACCGTATTTATTTCTCCTAATCGATGTTATCGTTAGTCACGATAACGGCCTCACTTCCCTAACACGCCTGATTAACCGTTTTCATCCTACCATCACTAGATCGTCCGTGTTATTATCATGACCCCACCCGCAATCTATGCGAATATATTCTTCCTTGCGACGATCAGATGATCCTACATGTTTTCATTTTCTCGAAATCATATAATTTTCAATCGCTGTCATCCCCTTCCCCTTTTCCCAACGTCACACAATCTGTCCCTTACAATGATCAGACCCTAGGTGCTCTAATTTGTCTGTAAATTATATATCTTTCACACACTGTCTGACCCTACCGCGGGACCATCTCATGTCGCCTTATATTTACTGTCGCATGTCATCAAGCTGACATGCAGAGAGTGTACACAAATTAGGTCATAAAAGAAACAAGTCGACGCATAACCAATTTTAAATTGCATAAAAAGAAAGCAAACAAATGGTTTTCCCACTTAAAGAGAGAATTATCTATTATCCAAGACATCAGACGTGTGGCCCACTGAACGAGGAACATCGTAGAGGCAATAAACAGTGTGGTTACCACCAACTGTTCAGCGTTTCTTAAAGTGTTTTTTTTTTTTAAATGTCAAGCCTGCTGCGTTTAGATATCTGTCAATGTGTCTGAGTAGGCTGCATGGCTAGAGCCCAGTCAGTGCAACAGGCACAACCTTGCGATGCCAAAGAAGTAGATCAAGAACAAGATGGAAAGATAAACCCAGAGAAACTCTATGACAGTACCACGTGTCATGGTCAAAGGCGGTGTGAACGGCAAGCACAAGACAGAATGTGTTATATCTGTCGCGACAGCTCAAGCAGCAACAGAGGAAGTGAAGAAGTACATAGTCAGTCACTGAACACATCAGATAAAAGTGGACTGAACAAACAGTATAATTTCAGTGCTCAATTGACAAACCTTTCAGGAAGTGGGTTGTGACACTATCAGTCTAAAGATAGTAGCTGGTTAGGTAATAACGCAGACACACAGGCCGGTCGGTTGTGCCAGAGACGTGTTGCTGATTGCATTTAAAATGTCCGGTGGCCATCAGTTCAAACTGATTGACCAGTCGATAAATTTACAAATTAATAAAAAGATAGCAGCTGTAAAAGGATGGATGACACACACAACATTGTATAGACGTATGCACACACGGACAGACAGACAGACAAGCATGAGGACATTACCTGTGCGTATTCCTTCTCCAGGGCGGCCTTCCTCGAAAAGAAAGTTCTGAAACGAAACAAATAACTCTGATGAAGCGACTAGCGCCTGCCCAGCTATTTATCGCCCCTGTCACCGGTCGGACCGTACAACATAGTACACAGGTAAAGAACGCCTTGTCCAAGCTATCGTGGTATGTCTGAAATATGGCATTAGTATCGAATTTGCTAATCCATGTGAAGCCCTGCAAGTAAACCGGTTAGTGTCACACAGGTAGTACCTCTGCCCTCTATCCCCCAGTGGAGCATAGGCCCTCAACCAAATCACGCTCAGCCATCCTATCCTGTGCCATTCCAGGCAGCTTACTGGCAAGGCTGTCGAAATTTTGTTGAGAATGGTGCCAAATTTTATTTGAAAAGGTGTCAAAACACATCAAAAGGTACACATTGTTCATATTTAATTTAAACTAACTCTGAATCGTCTTTATTTTTTATGATACTTAAAAAGCGCCTGATGCGCCTCGATGTAGAGATGTCCCCAGATAGGGTTAGTTTACTAGTGAAGTAGGCAGGGTCCCATTTGGGGGGCAAACAACAAGCGACCTACTGGCCCCTCGCCAATCAGCATGCCGTAGAAGTCGACTAGCTAGGGACTTAGTTCCAAGTCGGAGTGCATGTGCCCGAGCGGCAAGGATACAACTACCTGCACACAAATAAGCCAGTAAAACGGAATGATGTACACGCAAAACTCAGGCCCTTTGGCACAAAGCCAAAGTCTAAATGGACGAACAACCAGGACCTTCTGTCGGAGCTTACAGCCGGCGATCAAAGAAGAAGAAGAAGAAGAAGAAGAAGAAGAAGAAGAAGAAGAAGAAGAAGAAGAAGAAGAAGAAGAAGAAGAAGAAGAAGAAGAAGAAGAAGAGAGTAGAGTTGAATCCCCCCAAAAAACGGGGAAGACATGGGGTGAGCTGCAGGAAATAGCAAAGGATCAAACGACTTGGCTTGAGTAGACTAAGAGCCTATGCTCCATCGGGGTTACAGTGCAAAAGAAGGGGTTTACTACTTGACCATAACGATGCCAGCTACAGTATGTAAGCTGGCCTACCCCTCACCCCAACCAAAGACGTTATTTGCCGGCTGACGGCTGTTATAGACAAGCCCCCGGACATCAACCAGGGACTGAGAAATGAGTTTACTTTCCACGCCGTCTGCGGTTGTTGTCCGGGAATCCCGCCAGGAAGCTTTCATCGGGGAACTGGGCACCATTGGAATTGGCCGATTAATAGGCCTTCGCACAAACTTGGAAGTTTGGCATATAAATGTCAACTTGTATGTGACTATAACGAGAAATGTCCATTATCTTTCTCTTACAGTTTACTAACGGTACATACGAGCAGGGTGGTATTTCGGATGCATTCATGTATTTTACGGCCCTCTTTCCCTCAGCTAAATTTCAGCACTGCTATTACCATACTATTTCAATACAAAGGGCTAAACTGATGCAGGTTTCATATTGATAAAAGCAATAATATATAATATTATAATATTAGTAACCACGGAAATGAGATGTATGAGAAGGGATGTAGGAGTGACCATAAGAGATAAGATCAGGAATGAGATCACAAGAGAACAAGTCGGCACAGAACCAATTCTGGATTACATACAAAGACAGCAAGTGAAATGGTTTGCCCGCTTAGAGAGAATGCATTGTGACACCATACCATACAAAGCATACATGGAAAGAGAAGAAGGACGTAGAGCACGGGGTAGACCAAGAACAAGATGGAAGGATAACATCAGAGAAACTCTACAACAGCACGGTGTGCCTATGGTCGAGGCAGCCAGAAGAGCTAGCAACAGAACCTTATATCTCCCTCGACACCCACAGCGGTAAAAGAGGAAGTGAAGAAGAAGAAGAGAAGAAGAAGAAGAAGAAGAAGAAGAAGAAGAAGAAGAAGAAGAAGAAGAAGAAGAAGAAGAAGAAGAAGAAGAAGAAGAAGAAGAAGAAGAAGAAGAAGAAGAATATATAAACGTTGTATTTCCAATAATTGTCTTGCCGCCCTGAAAATTATGCAGCCTAAAAAAACGGTGGCGCCATGTGCAGCTGCACATGCTACACAAGGTCTACATGCGTCCTGCAACTGAAGAGCATTCAGAAAGTAATGTCTTCATTTTGAATTGTTTCCATGCGCAAACTGGCAGTGCAAAATGTATGAAATGTACTGAAAAAAAAACTCGTTATGTCCTTCATATATCATAATTTTCTTGACAATCTTCTTTCATTTCTACGATCTTGCGCCAACGCGAAACAAAGATATGAAGGTCTTGTCACATAGCCACTTCCTCGCAGCATGAATAACATTCTCAATTATTTTCTCTCTCTCTCTCTCTCTCTCTCTCTCTCTCTCTCTCTCTCTCTCTGTGTGTGTGTCTCTGTCTCTTTCCTCTCGCTCTCTCTCTCTCTCTGTCTAAGTCTCTTTCCTCTCTCTCTCTCTCTCTCTCTCTCTCTCTCTCTCTCTCTCTCTCTCTGTGTGTGTGTGTGTGTGTGTGTGTCTCTGTCTCTTTCCTCTCGCTCTCTCTCTCTCTGTCTGTCTAAGTCTCTTTCCTCTCTCTCTCTCTCTCTCTCTCTCTCTCTCTCTCTCTCTCTCTCTCTTCTCTCTCTACGCTTTAGGAAACTGTCACTCTCTGAACCCAGTGACCAACGGTGATGCTCTCACTACACAACTTCCACACACGGTACACAAACGTGCATCAATGTGCACCAGCTTTCTTTTCTGCACATTTTCTTTAGATGCATTTTTAGTTGTTCATTTTTGTTGGAGGGCTATGCAAATATGTATACAGAAGACAGACATTTCTGAAGTTTGCAAAGTTTAACGTTAGCAAAATTCACTGTTTCTACCTTCATTATTGGCTAACACACAGCTGTCTTGATCATTCAGCTTGAGGCTTGGACAATGGATCAACATCATGGCACACGGGTAGCAACCCATAAGTACTCCGTTTTTTTTTTTTTTTTCTAACTCAAGTCTGAGTCCGAAGAAGCTCAGCAGAGTGCATAGGCTCTGTAGCACCCGCGAGGATCCTGAAATACTTTGGGTAGATTTCTAACTCCACATTTTGTACAGGCAGCGCTGGTATGCTGCTCTTTTCGATTTCCAATTGCCAAGGGATCTTTTTACGTGCGCAACATTGCACATTGGGCGTCTGATCTCACTACCCAGAGTGAATTACTAGAAGTACAAGTCCACATGAAAAAATCCCAACACTTACCGGGGTTTGAACCCGGAACCTCTAGCGCTCGAGGCGGACACCATCCCTCGAGACCACTCATCCATTACAAGGTAAGTTTATTCATAAGTAAAAGTTTCATGACAATCAAATACTCGATTTTAAGCCATGTTCGTCTCTTATACAGATGCAGGGTAAGGTGCAGTGTTGCTATTTCTTGCCCGCCCTAAGCCCCTGGTAACACACAGGCAATATGTTTAATTGCCATACAGAAAACAGTCTAGGGCCACAGCAGGTCAATGCTGGCGTTGGCGTACCCATCACAAGATATGTGGTGTGGTGACTACTTCCTGGTGCTGATCACGTGACTGTGTGATACCAAGGGTGCTTGCTCTCTGTGGGTCTTTTCTTGACCTTGGATTTCTCAGTTTAACTCTACCATTCACAGCAACTTACGTTCAATAGTTAGTCTAAAGACAACACGTTTTTTTAATTCTATTTTATCACAGACGGCTGTTAAATTAACGTGTGTGTCCTGGGTGATCCTATGAATATGATCCTGCCGGTCGAGACAGGCTCCATATGCAGACAGTGGATCGAGTCATTGCAAAACTCTTCTGTGCGTGCAGCTACTTTCATATCTGTCCCAGGGCATGCAGGTGTTGCTGGCTATAAAAGAGCTGATAAACTAGCAGGTTCTGCATACGTTGCTGAATGCCAGCCTATGGATCACTCCGACACTGTTAATGCCCTTAAAGAAATAGGACGTTCAGAGGATTTTGGGAGCAACGTGTCCACACCCCACTGTTAAAAATACACGAACTGGGAGTAAAGATCTGAACAAACAAGCATGAGAGGCACACCGGACGCACAATAAGTCTTGTCAACCAACACAGCACTAGCATTATTAACCACGTGACCAACGCTGATGTATACGGGAATCTGAGCACCTATCGATGTGTCCCGAGTTAAAATGGACGCTAGGCATCGGCACTGTTCGAAGCAGAGGCAAATTTTTTGCTTTTGCCGGACGTTGGCCGATGCATTTTTGCTCTTTTTGTAGACTGGATTTGGTTTCATCGCCCAGCTTCTGAGTTGAATGCATGGCGTGGCACTGTGAGCTGCGGATTACATTTGGAATGTTTTTTCGACTGTGACCAACGTGGTGGTGTGAACTGTAGATTAAGAAAATGGCGCGATGCCTGTCGGGCAATGTTGGCGGTGCCCGTATGTGATTAAAATTGATCGCGTGGGCAACTGCTGATCTGTTGGTGACCTCTGCTACCATCAATGATGAACTGCATTTCTAATGTTGGACTGTTTGTATTAGCACTTCGGATGGCTAACGTATGCTTTAATACGAGTGTATGCTAGGTATGCTAAGACAGCAGTCTGTCAATCTTTCCACAAGGGACTGTGATAAACATTCTGCATGTTTTTCGTTGGCACGGGAGCGGAACAAAGATGGGGTGACCCGTTTGCTATGAAGCTGAAACTAGGACTACCAGATGTCCCGAGTGCTGCGAAGATAATCCAACTCATAAATCAAATTGGTTCTTTTTTTACATTTTCTGCCCCAAGCAGAGCGTAACTCGCCTTTCATTCATCTTAATTTTTTTTTTTCGCGTTCACCAGCTGTAAACTCTGGTGGAAAGTTCTGGTTTTTTTATCTACTTTTGGACTGCAGCCCTGTTCCAAAACCCGAGTGTTGCGTGTGCATCTGTTTTACAGATCTGACTCATTTGAATGCAGACTGCTGGTTACTTGCCTCTCATGCAGATGCACTCCGCCTCTGAAGGAAGCTTCCAATTAGTCGACTCTTATGACATGCTTTTGGGTAGGCAATGGGTCTATTCTTGTTTTCCCTATAACAGGGCCCCGTAACCCACACAGGGACCTTTCATTCATGCTTTCTGACCTTTCACATGCGCTGGTCTATGTTACAGGGGTGTCACATAGCGCTGTTTTCGACGCTCTCACCGGCGATGACGCGTGTACTATATCACACAATGTGACCGCTTTTAACGACCCCAGAACATTTAGAACTGACCCTAACCCCAACTCCCCTAGTACAAAGCCTCAGCATAAATCCCATGAGAGAGTCCAGGCTATGCCCCTTGGTTTATGAATTGTTAACATTTTTAAGTACTCTCTAAAGCCCATCTTGCTGCAGAAAAGCAATGCTGTTCTCCTTGTCACTGGTCAATGCTGACAGCTGAACTCAATTCATTTCGTACTCCAACTACATAATATACACAATGTCGGCGCCCGCTGACACAAACGACTAAACATGCACATCGTCGCGAGGTCAATACAACCTGACACCCCTCTAACAAAGACCAGCACGTGTGACAGGTAAGAAAGCATGAATAAGAGACTAATTATGGGGCGGTCTGGGGCAGAAAAGTAAAAAGTTTCCCCAATTAACTCATGCTGTCCTGTTTGTTACTTTCTTCTAAAAAAAAATATTGTTACTGTTGTAAACTTCTTTAGACTCATGTACTGACTGCTTCGAAATGGAAATTTACACGATAGAACAGTGACCCTAATGGAGTCATCATGTGTAATACAAGACTCTTATGTCTATTCAGCCTCTCTTTCTCAAGTCTACCTCACTTTCGTGGACTCTGTTCTCTCCAGTAAACCAATGGAAAGTTCAGGTTTCCACGACACAACAAACTATGCAAAGCTGAAACCCTGCTCCGTTAGCCAGTTACTGAGTTTGGTGCATGGTGCAACACTGTGAGCTGTGAATTTCATGGAGAATGTCTACTGTTTTTGCTCCCTAAGATGTGTGCTGTCAGCTACAAAAGAATATCGCAAGTAGCTAGTTGCCACAGAACTGCCTGGGTGCCTTATTCAGTAACGCATGTGCACCTCCTGGTTAGTATAACTGTTACTACAATCAAATATGAACAGCAATTTTAGTGACAGACTGTGGGTATTGGCTCCTCTAGCAACTGCTTTATGCATTTGATGCATGTGGGAGCTGTTGGATTTTGCCAGGACTGCTGTCAGTCTGACTGTTCACATTAGATAATGATGGGAATTTTATGTGTTTTTTCACTGCCACAGGAGCGCAGCAATTACTGGATGACTCATTTGAGATGAAGTCTGAACTGTGACAGATAGCCTGTCAGTCATTAGAAAGAAAAAGTTGAAGCAACGTCTGGCTGCTTCTGAAAGAGTTAAAATTCTATTTACATGTAAGCAGTAAAAGTGGATGTGAAGAACTATGACTGGAACAGGTGGTATGAGGTATAACCATAGAAAACATGAAACAAAAGGTGTATCCAAACATATGGGTTCCATCAAACTGTGGCATATATTGACACAGTTAGGTCACCTGCTCTACATAATTTGGTACACATGTTCAACCCACTTGAAACTCAAACCAGTGAGCCTGACTCCACAGGTAGCCAACCTGAATATAGGCAGCCAACCTGAACACACATGAAACCAGTTTGAATACACTTTAAAGCCCCGGGGTCCACTTACCACATCGGGGTCCACTTAACACATCGGGGTCCACTTACCACATCGAATCATCCTCTACCTTTGAATTCTCAAATATATCTTCCCATCTCCAAGTAACATCCACCCACATTTCATGCCTCCTCTGGCTATGCAACTCACATATTGGGATTAAACAATATATTACATAATTTACTGTCGCTGCATATTTTTAGGCATCTTGTCAGGTGCATTACTACAGAGTTATTTCAACATATAATAAAGCATAGACAAATTAATAAACAGCGAAATACAAAATGGTATCATGTGACCATACATGCCTGGCTATAATCTGTACAATGTATCTGCATTATTTAAATTTACTACAAGGGAAAACATTGTTTTGAATACTGATATTTTAGTCCCATGTTGGGATTAGTTGGGTTTTCTTAATTTATCAGCAAATCTGTGTGGTTACAGTTTGTGTAGGTGCAATCATAGGTATGTGTGGTCATGTACAGCCACTCGAGCAACAAATGTAGGTCAGTTAGTTACAATCATGTATACCTCAGGACATTTGAGCAACAGATGTGGGTCAGTTAGTTACAATCATGTATATTTCAGGACATTTGAGCAACAGATGTGGGTCAGTTAGTTACAATCATGTATATTTCAGGACATTTGAGCAACAGATGTGGGTCAGTTAGTTACAATCATGTATACCTCAGGACATTTGAGCAACAGATGTGGGTCAGTTAGTTACAATCATGTATACCTCAGGACATTTGAGCAACAGATGTGGGTCAGTTAGTTACAATCATGTATACCTCAGGACATTTGAGCAACAGATGTGGGTCAGTTAGTTACAATCATGTATACCTCAGGACATTTGAGCAACAGATGTGGGTCAGTTAGTTACAATCATGTATACCTCAGGACATTTGAGCAACAGATGTGGGTCAGTTAGTTACAATCATGTATACCTCAGGACATTTGAGCAACAGATGTGGGTCAGTTAGTTACAATCATGTACACTTGAGGACATTTGAGCAACAGATGTGGGTCAGTTAGTTTCAATCATGTAAACTTCAGGACATTTTAGCAACAGATGTGGGTCAGTTAGTTACAATCACGTATGTTTCAGGACATGTGACACCAATCCCAGCATTCAGGGGCTGTTGTGTTTTCTAGGTAATATGTATATTCAGCAGTTTGTCACTGTCTTTCTGAAAAGGTACAATGCTAGTCCTATTCTCAAAATTAACATACAGATGTCTGCTACCAAATCACTTTGCTGACTTCAAACCCTGGTTCACAACCCCTTGATTGTCAGTCCACAAAGTCAGCAGAAGTTTGCCAAATCCCAGTCAGAAGTAGTCACCATATAGAGACAGAAGTAGGTCAGGCCACATAAAGCATGTACAAAACTAGGTCACCTCAGACAGAAGTAGGTCAGGCCACACAAAAACAGGTACAAAACTAGGTCATCTCAGACAGAAGTACCTCAGGTCACACAAATACAGGTACAAAACTTGGTCATGTCAGACAGAAGTAGGTAAAGTCACATAAAGAATCTACAAAACTAGGTCAACTCAGACAGATATATGTAAGGTCACACAAAAAGCAGGTACAAAACTAGGTCATCTCAGAAGTAGCTCAGGTCACACAAAAACAGGTACAAAACTTGGTCATGTCAGACAGAAGTAGGTCATGTCACACAGACAGAGTGTACCAACCTCATATCCTCTAGAAGATCGCATTCCTGCTGGTGCTTAATGTTCAGTTTAGACACCTGGTCAGTCTGGATATTCTTTAGAGACACTGTGGGTTTCACCTGATGTCAGACAGAATAATATGAGAAAATATGAATCTTCTTCTTCTTCTTCTTTGCGTTCGATTTCGTATGCTCAGATCAGACCATCAGGTGGGTTGCCTCTATAAACTCGCATGTCAGCTGCAGGTCCTGCAAGGTTCCCCATAGCTTGCTCTGCGCACTTTGCTCTTGAGGCCAGGTGTCTTTTCGAAGTTGCAGGTAGAGTGGGCAGGTCTGCAGAATGTGCTGAGGTGTTTGAATAATAATGCAGATGTGTTGCTCTGTGGCATATACCAATCATTAGGTTCTGTGCATATTCTTTCCAATTTCGTTTTAGAATCGCTAGAACCGTGACTGATGGTTCTTCTTCTTTTTATTATCTGACTCCATGGAGCATTTGCTGACCAGGTTATTTTCCCAGGACTGACTGTTCTGTTTGGTACCATTCCCTTGTCTTCCATATTAGTAGAACTGCTAGAATTTGTGTTTGTAAAAGCCTTGCTTTGAACTTTATTACGAAATCGGCATCATGTGTTAACATCTTAGATGTTCATTTGTCTTCCCTTTATTAAATAAATGATCTTGCAACATCAGCAGCTCTCTATACCTCCAGAGCCATCGTACTACATGTGCCCACTTGGCACTTTGTCCTGGGTCCCACGAGGATATGTACCCCTAAATATATGTTAAATATTATTGATTACTTACATTTCATTAATGTGAGTGATTGTCATAGGGGTCAATGCTAACTGGTTTTTCCAAGGGTCCGTAAGGCTGTTCAGACAGTTCCCTATACCTTGTCATTTGCCTTTGTTTCCCTCCAAAATATTCTCAAGAATTTCTCAAAGATGTTACTACATTTCTGAATTCAACAGTTTCAAAACTATACCCTCAATTCTTAAATGAAAAGTTCTAGAAAATCCAAATCCAAAAATTACAGATGAAACCAAAATAGAAAATCACAAATGCTGTGAGTGAGCCAGCTTGAGCGATACACTAGAATTAAGAAGAAACTCTTTGCTTAAACATCCCAGAAGAGGAAGAACAATGCCCTCAGAGAACTTTCAACAAAACCCATCAACAGAAATATAAACCAGGAGAAGAAAAAAGCTATGAAATTCCCACACTTTAAAAAAAATGGCAACATACTCTGGAAGAAGTTAACAAGCAAAATACTAAAGTACTTCAAAATAGGTCAGGTCCAAGTGCTGGGATGTAAATGCCAACAAATAACAATACCAAAGTATTCAATCAATTTTTCAATTATTTGAGAAACCTCCAACACAGAACTTCAATTTTCTAATGGCAAAATTTGGAAATTGAATTTTTCTAAAATAAAATCAGAATTTGTCTCTGCTTAGCTGGGTAGTTAGCTAAAATGTTCTTGAAGAAATCACATTTTCCCAATTAAAAACAAGCATTGCACAGATAGTTAAATATTCTAGACACTTCATGAGCACTCAACATCCAAGAATAGACCACACACAATACAAGCGACAAACAAATAAGGCTATAAATGTCTGTACAGCCTGGAGGGAGACAACTAGAACAATAATCAATTGTATTCTTAAACTCTCGGGTGAATTGTGAAATAAGAGGTGTTCGCTTGAAAAGTGCAGATATCACAGCCTAGCCACAACAATGCACTTCTTACACCTCTTTTTAAGCACAGAAACAAATTTCTTTAACTAGCCTCTCTAAGACAGGAATGATTTTCCTAAATGGAGTTTTTAAATGATCTGTAGTTTTTAAAGTGAGGACATAAACAGGGAGGGACTTCAGTGAGCTGATGATAGAAATACTTCATCAAACACAAACTGACTGGAAAATTTAAACGACAAGACAGCAGAGATAATAAACAAACCAAGGTCAACATGAAACTTGTTGATACTTCTTGGTTTCATGCTGACCTTTTAGCTCTGCTGAATTTTCCAGTCACAGTTTGTGTTGTATTTAGCAGGCATCTGATAAAGACTTTGGTCGAAATGTTCGGTTATTTTTGCACGAGAACGATTGGTTTGATTTGTGTACTTCCTGTTCCATTCCCTCCATTGAGCTTTCTAGTTTTTTATTATGTTATATTTAGCACTTCTGATAGTTTTTAAAAACACACCTGAACCTGCCAAATGATATCACCATAAACATTTATACTGATTAGGAAGAACACTAGGACAGTAGGCAAATAGTAGAGAGAACACTGTGACAATAAAGAAACAGAAGAAAGAACACTATGATAATACACATATAGCTGGGAGCATGCTGGAAAATAAAGAAACAGTAGGCAGAACACTAGAATTTTATGGAAATAGTAAGAAGGCTAGAATAATATTTATAAATAATATATATATTTATTAATCATACTGTAGGGAGAACACTAGAACAGTATAGAGATAGTAGGCAGAACACTGGAAGAATATAGAAATAGTAGGTAGAACAATAGAACAACATATCTAGAGAGAGCATTAGGATAATACAGAAAATATTAACAGAACACTACAATAATACAGAAATAGTGAGGAGAATAGCAGACCAATACAGAAAAAGTAGGGAGAAAACTAGGATTCAAAACTGTAGGCAGAATACTAAGTTATAGAAATAACAGGGAGAAAACTAGGTTTCAAAACTGTAGGCAGAACACTAAAATAAAGAATAACAGGGACAAAACTAGGGTTCAAAACTGTAGGCAGAACACTAAGATACAGAAATAACAGGGAGAAGAACAAGGGTTAAAAACTGTAGGCATAACACTAAGATACAGAAATAACAGGGAGAAGAACTAGGGTTCAAAACTGAAGGCAGAACACAAGATACAGAAATAAAAGGAAGAACGCTAGGAAAATACAAAAATAATAGGCAGAGCACTGGAACAATCTAGAAATTAGTAGAGAGAGCACAATGACAATGCTGAAATTAGTTGGAGGGGGGAGCGGAGCGGCCTAGGAACATACATAATTAATAGGGAGAACACTAAAACAAAATTTTATTTTAACAAGTATAGAGAATAGAGAAAATTAGAAACTAGAACAATATAAAAACAGTAGGGAGAATACTAGGCCAATACTGAAACAATAAGAACACCAGGACAATATAGAATGAGAAGGGGGAACACGAGGACAACACAGAAACAGAACAAGCAGTTTCTTCAGTTAATTAGCTTGAGAGAAACCGTTCAATTTTCTGATGGAATCTACAGGAAAACCAACAGCCAACAATGAAAACTTGTGACTTAGATGGAGATCAAGATAAGCTGAATCCAGTATTCTAACAGAGACCAGACTCAAAGGGCTACACACTTTTACACTAACAAGAAGACTACAGGAAATTACATCCACTAAAATAGTCACCGCTTTTGGCTCAGAAACAAATCAGAGCTGCAGGAAGTTGCTATCACAGCCATCTAGTGGCCAAATAAACCCCTGAGGCAAGCAATTATGTCAGCTTAAACTCGTAAAAACAAATAAAAGAAAAATATGATGTCTGATTATTTGACGTTTTCCTGACTTACATTTAATCTGCTGTGTTCACTCATTTGTTCTTTCTTGTGGTATAAACTTGGTTCATTCATTCATGGGGTTTAACCTTGTTCGTTCATTCAATCACGTGGTTTCATCTTCTTTGTTCATTCATTCATTCTTGTGGTTTAATTATGTTTTGTTCATTCGTTTGTTTTCGTGGATTAATCTCGCTTGTTTTTTTAATTTAATCTTGTTTGTTCATTTCTTCAATCATTCGTGTGATTTAACCTTGTTTGTTGATTCTTGTAGTTTAATCTTGTTTGTTCATTCATTTATTCTTGTGGTTTACCCTTGTTTGTTCATTCACTTGTTCTAGTTTAATCTTGTTTTTTTCATTCTTTTGGTTCAATCTTGTTTGTTCAATCATTCATTCTTGTGATTTAACCTTGATTGTCCATTCGTTCATTTGGTTTAATCTTGTTATTTCATTCATTCATTCTTGTGGATTAACCTTGTTCATTCATTCATTCTTGTGGTTTAATCTTGTTTGTTCATTAATTCTTGTGATTTAACCTTGATTGTTCATTCATTTGGTTCAATCTTGTTATTTCATTCATTCATTCTTGTGGATTAACCTTGTTCATTCATTCATTCTTGTGGTTTAATCTTGTTTGTTCATTCCTGTTTTAATTTTCTTTGCTCACTTGTTCATTCTTGTGGTTTAATACTGTTTGTTCATTCATTCGTTCTTGTGATGGATAAGATGTGATATTTTCCAAGGAATGGCCTGTACTCCACCCATGCTTCCCAAATCCTTTATCCAGTAAATACCTATAACAAATACTTTGTTTACTTCTAACTCTAATCTCGCCTTATCACAGAAAAACAGATCTAAACAAAAAAGTTTATGCTGACACAGTTGAAGGACTATCCTACCTCTCCGATTTCTAGGCCAAAGTTCACAGACTTAAAAACAGAACACCAGATGGTAAGAGCAAATGTTTTATTTCAGGATATTACCAAATGAAACAGATTAAGCAAACATACAAGCATGAGGACGGTAAAATGGCCAATTCAAGGAGAAATGTGTGCAGGGGGTGATGTAACAAGCCTGAAACTGCTGAAACTGAAGCTGATAGTGGCATTTGAACAAGGAACAAATAATCCAGATATTGCAACATTCAGAAGATAGGCATAATCAAGTAATAACCAAAAAGCAGAAGTTATAAACATTTATGTTATACCAACAATAAGAAGATTTTTTTTTAAGCTGAAAGGTTTTACCAACAATAATAAAGTACAAAAACAGTTCTGGGAACTCAGAAGTTCATAGGAACAATCAGAAGGGTAAAAACAATCTAGTGAAACATAGGTACAAACATCTATCATAGATGTTTCACTATACAAACAATCCAGACATAGGAACAAATCTAGTCATAGGAACAATCAGAAAATATCACTATACAAACAATCCAGATATACAAACAAATCTAGTCATAGGAACAATCAAGATGTTTCACTATACAAACAATCCAGATATAGGAACAAATCTAGTCATAGGAAAAATCAAGATGTTTCACTATACAAACAATCCAGATATAGGAACAAATCTAGTCATAGGAACAATCGGAAGGTACACACAAATCTAGTCATAGGAACAATCAGAATGTTTCACTAAACAAACCATCTAGTTATAAGAACAATAAAAAGGTAAAAATAATCTAGACATAGGACCAATCAGAAGGTATATAACAAAATCCCCCCCCCCCCCTCCCTTTTTAACTCCCCTAAACATTTTTCACCAACATCCCAACCAACTAACCCTATGACAAATTTACACAGCACTGTACCGTGTGAACCAGCTCTGTGAAAAATTTAAATAGCAGTGTACCTTTCATTCCCCCCCCCCCCCCCCCCCCCCCCCCCCCCCCCCCCCCTTTCTACCTCTATGAAAGATTGTTCCCATGTGAAACTGCATCTACCATGACAACAAATATGGCTCAAGGAAGATATAGAATCATGGGGAAAAAAGTCTCTGTATCAAGCGTAGGCAACATTGGTGCGTGGGTTGTATGAGGCCCACAGAATCATTTGATCTGGCTCAATCAAGGCAACAGTTATGAAATGTGTGACCAAATATAGCTACAATTACGACATGTTTATGTATCTTGTTCACTAGCCACCAGCAAGCTGCAGTGACAGCCTCCACCTCCATTCTCGTGCTGGATGTCATGGTATCATTTGCCAGGCTGTCCTGCACTAAAGATTTTCTACCGGCTTTTGCTACAAAACCCCAGGCACTTTTCTTCCCTCTCAATACAGAACCATCCATGTAGATAATCAGATCATCAGCACGAGAACTATCATGAATCTACTGTCTGACTTTCACTTCAATTGCCCCGGCTGGCCACTCTCCACACTCCCGGCCTAATGTGATCATGACCCTACATGGGTCAGACTTTTTCCTCTGGTACTCTGACCCACTTCTATCCTCGCCCAATGTTCTTCAGCATGCATGTTTGTCTTATTGTGTCTTCTGCTTGAGCCATCCATGATTTTTCTCTTTTTAGTCTCTGACCCTTAACTGCATTAAAAGCTTCATACAGTGTTTTTTATCTGCAGCTACTCTGAGGTATGACTTTGCCTGCAGCACTTTTAGCCTATCTGCAATAGTCAGCAATGCAAGGATGTATCGCATACACACAATCCGGGTGTCTCTTGTACATCCCAGGATCACCCACATATCTTGATTCTGTATGCGCTCTAGTTTCTCTAGCTGACTCTTTGAGACATGAATAACCCCAATCCATAATTAATCACTGTGATGATTTAGTGCTAGTAAAGTGTTTTAGGGTAAATAGCATTCTTTGCTCCATGTCCATTGCTGCGATAATCTTTAGGGCATTAGGACATTTTCTGGCCTTTGACACAACCTCCTCTATGTAATCCTTGAAAGACAAACTTCTGTTAAAGGTGATTCCGAGGTACCGCAGTCTGCTGTCTCTCTTAATGTCCCTGCCATTTATTATGAGGCTTGGAACATCAGCTCTAACAATCCTGTTGCCCAAAGTGTCGCCTGTAACTCTTCAGCTATTTGATCCCGATCTCTCCCCTTCCTATATACAAAAACATCATCAGCAAATGTCAATATTCTGCCAATATTTTTTTATACTAGATAACTATAAATAAGAATGGTTCGCCCATTTGGTCAATCAAGTTATATCAACACATCGTTTAAAAGCTCTAGTAGATAAATCATAACTCATAAACAAAGCACGCAGAACAGAAAATTAGGTTGGGAGCGGGGGGGGGGGTGTAATAACAACATAACCCCAACCAAAACAACATAGCAAGAAGAAGATGGAGAGTAACATTTCTTTATAACAATAAAAGAAATATATAAAACAAATTTTAAAATTATAAATAATAGTTAAGAAACAAATCGGCGAGGTTCCAGTGCATCGCAAATGACGGGAGAATGAGAATCTGAGATACAACAAAACATTCGAAGAATGAACTGTTCAATTTCCAATCAATTGTTTGTGTATCATTATCATTTGTTTTGCTAGCCAGAGGAGGCGATGAAAACGATGGACATTCTACAGTATATCGTGATTACTGAGAGAAATGGGTGAACTAGAATACATATGATTACCTTTCGGGGCGGTGGCTGCATGATGCAGATCACAATCGATGAAAAACAATGAGAATAAAATCACAGAATCACTAGCAGAATCTAGCCGTCCGTTAGGTCTCCGCCATGTTTTGCCAGCTGTTCACTCTACCTCCCGCTCCAATGGTTCCAGTCAGGGGACAGCATCCTATAGCTACTCGACACCTGATACTCTTGGGTTGTCTGCCCCGCTCATTTCATTAAGACAAGTCATAAAACAACATGACAACAGTGTAATGTTTTTACGTACCTCATTCATTGAACATGGCCGTCAAGAATTAACAAGCTGTTTTCTATTATTCCGTGTTGTGAGTAGTGTCGTGGGAGGTTATTACTTCCCTAATATCTGAGGGAGACGAATTTTTTTTCTCTATAGGACATTGGCTTCTAGGTCCATCCAGCCTTAAATGGGTACCAGGTTTAGTCCTGGGAAGTAAAGGCGGCTAGTATCATATAGAACACATTATCCAAAAAGTGCCGATTGGTCTATAAATTTAAGTCTAGTCCTATGTGCGTGAACAATTATCTTTTTCAACAATCTATATGAGAATTTTTTTTAAATGTGTTGATGTATTCTTTAAATGACATCACGGGACCCTTAAATCCGTTCTGCTGGAGCCTGGATATCGACGGGCCACCAGTTGGGAACTACTGCTTTAATTCACTAACATTGTTTAATAGTAAGGGTTAAAACATTTCTTTTTAATGACACCTACCTCAAGTTGCCAAGTTAATTATGACGTATTTCTAGGATTTATCCAATGTAACTAATGTCGCTACGTCAATTTACTAGAGTGGCTGTTTAACTATTCATGTACTGTATACCACTTGGGGTAAGAAGGGCTGCGTGGTCTCGGGTCTCGAGTGCTGCAGGTTCCGGGTTCAATCCCCGGTAAGAGGACTTGGACTTATAGTAATTCCCCTGGTCTCTGTGTAGTGAGATCGCACGCCTGTGTGTATTGTTGCGCACGTAAAAAATCTCTTGGCAGTTGGAAATCGAAAAGAGTAGCCTGGGCAAAACTGTGAGTTAAAAATCTACCCAAAAATATTTCATTATCCTCGACAGTGTTACAGAGCCTGTGCTCTGTGTTAAGCTTCTTCGAACTCAGACTTGAGTTTGAAAAAGAACGGAGTACTAATGGGTTACTACCCGAATGCCATGATGTTGATCCGTTGTTCAAACTGCAAACCACTTGGGGTAGCTAAATATCGACCATATTTGTAAGTCGAAATTAAAACGGCTGATGTCGAGTTGATGGGGCAACATATTTGACGTGAAATATGACAGGATTAGTCAGTTCCGTATTTTTTACAGGAAGTTGAAGAACCGACCCCTGCATTTTTTTTTTTTTTTTTTTTATTACTATTTTTTTTTTTTTTTTTTGCTGTTGTGGTTTTTTTAGGCACATTTTACGTTCAGTATTTTGCCACAGCTCATGAACGGTCAGGTCTCGGTACCACTGTCAAAACCAACGCAAGACAAAATCAACTGCAACTGGGATAGAAACACAAGTTCTGGAAAATTATCAAAGTCCAGAAGTGGACGAACAACTATGTCTTTCCACCGCAGGTTACAGCCGACAAAGGCAAAGAAGAAGAAAATTAAGTGAAATGTGAAAGGGGAGCTCAGCAAACGAAAGACTGATACCACCACCCCCTCAGTAGTTCACCAAGGGTGACGAGCTCCCACTTCATAGAAACCTTGCAAGAAGGGTTACCAGTTAACCCCCCCCCCCCCCCCACCACTCCAACTCCCCCCTCCACCTCATTTTCCCCAGCCAACCAAGTATTTTGCTTACACCTTTCATATTATGTACAGTATATTTGTACAGTATATTATTAGATTTATTGCTCATTCAGCACATAATTAATATTTTTGTTGCGCACTTAAACAACATTCATGCCCCTTTGCGCACGCGGAATACAAATTTACAGGGGGGACCCCCCCCCCCCTTTTTTTTTTACCCCCTTCTTCTCACCAGCTAAAGTTTACAGGTGCCCCTTACACGTATCACATAAATTTAATGGTAAGAAATAAATAAGAACGTAGACCGGAAGCTCAGGAAGCAAAACAAACACAAAAGGAAGCAGGGTTAAGCTGCGTTAAAACATCTCAGCCGTTCAGGACAATTGCCATACGCGCTCTGTAGGGAAAGTCAGCAGGGAGAGGAGTGGACTAACTGGTGTGATTAAACCAGGAATTGATATATACAGACATGGGAATGATGGAAAACCTGTAGATGTCAAACTGAAGGGGATTAACATACCGTATCGGGAGGAGAGGAGAGCAGCACCAAGTCAAACTCAGGTACGTTTCTTGTCTCTGCTTACTTCTCCGGGTTTACGTTCCTTGAGTCTGCGTTTGCCTTGTTGCTTTCATTTATGTCGTGTTTATTCCCCCCCCCCCCCCCCCCCCGCCCCCTTTTCCCGATTTTTTTTTCAGTCCTACTGTTTTCGGTTTCACGTCTCATTTGTTAGTTCATTCCTTTCTGACGTGCGTTCATTCTCTGATTGTGTGAATGTGAGTTTGTTTGGATATGTGTGTGTGTGTGCTTTGTTCTTTCAATTGTTAGATTTTTTGTTCAGCCACTGCTATATCCCACATTTCTGTATTTTCTTTTTTTCGCAACCTCCGGTTTTATGTTTATGGTTTTATATTAGTATTCATCTTCATCAAATGCTTTGCCAACTGGCGTGGGCGATCATGCCTCTCCACAATCTGCAATCTTCAACAGCATGCATCATTTCCTGTGTTGACACCCCTGCATGTCAGGACAAAAATATGTCAAGAATCTCCCCGCTCTGTCTTTCCCTGTCTCTTGTCCACAGATCTCTCCAATTGTCACAACGTGTTCCAGTAAAATATACCACTTGAATTCCATTCCATTCTTTCAGCATGTCAGATCTCGTTATCTGTGTAAAGATATCTTGAGGAATTCTCTCTTGGAATGTGGGCAATATTTTGAGTTTCAAATCTACCCAAAGTATTTTCAGTATCCTTGCCGGTGCTACAAAGCCTGCGCACTGTGCTGAGCTTCTTCGCACTCAGACTTAAGTTAGAAGAGAAACGGAGCACTTATATGTTACTACCTACCCGTGTGCCATGATGTTGATCCGTTGTTCAAACCTTAAACCTTAAACCTCTCTTGAAAGTCTTTCTGAAGCGATGGCCTACAACTTGAAGTACCAACCATGACCGGACATTTACTCCCAAACACATTTTTTTAAACACTCGCTAGGAGTTTAAAAAAAAATAAGACAACTTATGTTAGAAAAATGTATCCGTGTATTTAAAAATGCAGTTCACAATACAAATAAACTGTCAGTTGTCTTGTGGCTCACAGTGTTCTTGTTTTATCATGCCACAGATCGGAAGAGACTATCTCATCCTGTCTGCAGTTATCAAAATCCTCTAGAGTTTCAGTTTTAGTAATTTCTACATGGCATCTTGTCCTGGCTTGTGACAGTTTTTACCGGCAAAAGTTTGAACCTAACTATCTCTACTCACTGTCAATCAGGTTATCACAAACGCTAATCTAGCCACTGTAGTCAAGTTATCAAACACAGAGCCACAGTCATTCAAGTTATCACACACTCTTATTATGCCACTGTCAGTCAAGTTATCACACACTCTAATCTAGCCACTGTCGGTCAAGTTATCATACACTCTAATCTAGCCACTGTAGTCATCACTCACTCTAACCTAGCCACTGTAGTCAAGTTATCACATACTGAAATTTAGCAACTGTCGGTCAAGTTATCACACACTCTGATCTAGCCCCAATAGGTCAAGTTATCACACACTCTAATCTTGCCACTGACTGTCAAGTTATCACACACTCTAATCTAACCACATTAAGTCAAGTTATTGCACACTCCAATCTAGCCACTGTCAATTAAGTTATTGCACACTCTAATCTAGCCACTGTCGGTCAATTTTTCACACACTCTGATCTAGCCACGTTATGTCAAGTTATTGCACACTCTAATCTAGCCACTGTAGTCAAGTTATCACGTGCTCTAATTTAGCAACTGTCAGTCAAGTTATCACACTCTCTGATCTAGCTACAATAAGTCAAGTTATCGCACACTCGAATCTAGCCACTGTTAGCCAAGTTATCACACTCTAATCTATCAACTGTCAGTCAAGTTATCACACTCTAATCTAGCCACTGTTAGTCTAGTTATAACATATCCAGATGAAGCCATTGCCAGTTATCATATACATAGGTAAAGCCACTGTCACTTATCTCATATCCAGGTAAAGTCCTTGTCAGTTATCACATACCTAGGTAAAGCCGCTGTCGGTTATCACATACCCAAATGAAGCCATTACCAGTTATCACATGTTCAGGTAAAAACACTGTCAGTTATCTCATATCCAGGTAAAGACACTGTCAGTTAACATACATAAAGCCTCTTTCAGTTAAGTTATCAAACATCCAGGTAAGTCTAGTTATCTAGATCATCTTTCCTGATAAAGATCAATCTGTCCTTTTATTGATGATTCCACATGTAAACAGTTGACAACAAAGCACTTGGACCGGACCTCAAGCGTAGTTCCAGCTAAAGCCCACGTGACACAAGAGAACATAAGCCATGGAGGCTAACGTTGTTACCAACATCATGGGGAAGCCGATCCTGAAACAGAAAACACACCAGACATGTACTCCATCTTATACGTAACTCATCGAGATGTGGTGATATGAATGTAGTGGCGAGGCATAAACAATTCGCACGCGTAAGCCCTAGCAAGTAGCATTTACACTGGAGAGAGTATCAGGTGACATTTTCCTCCTCGTCGCTTCGTTGTTGACAGACTAGCATCGAAATACTGGTAACCGGTTTTTTTTCCAAGTAACAGCTTATTTATGTATGGCGTAGGCATGCAGACAGCGTTCTTTTCGCTGTCTCAATACTTGTAACAAAGTTACGTGTTCGGCGAGACTTAAACCGAGTGTCGTGTTCGTTATAAACAGTCAAAAGTAATAATAAAAACTAAATACTGGTAGTAATAATGAATGGTAAAAATAATGAATTTTTTTGTTGCAATGGAAGCGATGGTTATAGTCGTTTCCTGCACATCAAGCCACTGTACGGTTGTCCGTTGTATGTAGTATATACATCTAGCCACTGTATGGTTGTCTGTTGTATGTAGTATATACATCTAGCCACTGTATGGTTGTTCGTTGTATGTAGTATATACATCTAGCCACTGTATGGTTGTTCGTTGTATGTAGTATATACATATAGCCACTGTATGATTGTCCGCTGTATGTATTATATACATCTAGCCACTGTATGGTTGTTCGTTGTATGTATTATATACATCTAGTCACTGTATGGTTGTCTGTTGTATGTAGTATATACATCTAGCCACTGTATGGTTGTCTGTTGTATGTAGTACATACATCTAGCCACTGTATGGTTGTCTGTTGTATGTAGTATATACATCTAGTAACTGTATGGTTGTCCGTTATATGTTGTCTGTTGTATAGACGTCTAGCCACTGTATGGTTGTCTGTTGTATGTATTATATACATCTAGCCACTGTATGGTTGTTCGTTGTATGTAGTTATTACATCTAGCCACTGTATGGTTGTCTGTTGTATGTATTATATACATCTAGCCACTGTATGGTTGTTCGTTGTATGTAGTATATACATCTAGTCACTGTATGGTTGTCCGTTATATGTTGTCTGTTGTATGTTGTATAGAGACGTCTAGCCACTGTATGAAGGTTGCCCGTCGTGTGTAGTATATAGACATAGACTCGGTGATGTGAATGTGCTTTGACACATATGTGGCTTAAGTAAAGTGCTCACATGTGCTTAGATCGACTTATATGTAACAAACACACATGAGGTTACATGAATATATCCCGTGTTTTGATAATTAGGTAAATATGGACGGCCTCATTTATACATGTGTGTTAGTGTGACACACACACAAGAGAGAGAGAGAGAGAGAGAGAGAGAGAGAGAGAGAGAGTGAGAGAGAGAGAAAGAGAGTGAGAGAGAGAGAGAGAGAGAGAGAGAGAGAGAGAGAGAGAGAGAGAGAGAGAGAGAGAGAATGTTTCTATTGAAACACTAAATTCTTACTTGAAAAAATCCCAGAAAGAGAAGCCGTAACCATGTTGTTCTGCTATCCCGGCACACACCACGTTACAGGAAGCACCAATCAAAGTTCCGTTTCCTGTTGGGAAGACATTGTGACCTATATAATCTGTGATTTAGCATCCATTGGCCAGTTTCACTGAAGCCATAACAGTGAAAGAGCATCACTCTGTCTTCCTGTATTCACCCTATGAAGGACGATTATCACATCGCGTGGTTCACAGCTAGACTAAGTCGCTGACCTCAAAACATCGAATCTTAGCAAACTGGTTGCCTTTTACAACATACTTGCTGAAGGACAGTGGGTCTCTATTTTTTTTTTTAGGGGGGAGGGTAGCAAATTAAAAACAAATAGGTCACAGAGGCTACACAGGAAGATCTTATGTAGAGTGCTCACCGACTTTGCGTCCTCAGACATTAAACCTGCCGTGCTTGTTATGTATTTCATTACTACAATCTTCTCAGAATTCGTTTACAAAACGTGCGGCCTTGTCAATAGAAGTTACCTGTAGTGGACATAGGCATCCCTGTTGTCTTATATTATTATATGTTTTATACTACGCGATAAAGCCCGTGTCTCTTCCACAGTGTGACTCTCGTACTATAGAAAACTATCTTTTTTTTCTAAACCACCGGCTACTGGAATATAAAATGTATATGGAGGACTGGAAAACGCGTTCACTAACCTATAAACCGACGAGCCGCACCAGAATCAGTGAACTCAGTTTTAAAACAAAGAAGCAGAAAAGCAACTAAGCCAAGAAACATAGGTGATTTTATGCAAATACAAAGAATCACTAATGTAGAACTTTGGAAGGGAACTAAGCAAGCTCCAGTGGACCAAGAAGGTGAAAAAAAAATACGCTGGCGTTGGATAGGACACACATTGAGAAAACCGGAGAACAATATAACTAGAATGTCTTTGCACTGGAACCCACAGGGGCGTAGAAATAAAGAAAGGCAAAAAAACACATGGAGAAGGCAGCTGGAAAATTAAGTAAGAAAGATGAGGAGGACATGGGGAGAGCTGCATGCGATAGCGAAGTATAGAATGTCTTAGTGTGCGTTCATTGAGGGCCTGTGCTCCATTAGGAGCTAGAAAGGCAGAAAAAGGCAAAGATAAAACTATAGGATTAAAAAACAGAGAAAGTAACAGAATAATTATGGAATCTAGAACAAATGACATTCTCTTATCGCTAGTCGTTTGTCGAGGTTCTTGCATCAGCTGCAGACAATTCACAGGATAACTTCTCCGTTCATGTGCCAGCGGAAATCATGCAAAATGTCTTTCACTGTAGCATTGAAAAATTATTGAAAAACTTGTCACTCCCAGCGAAATGTTGACGTTTGCACACGCAAACATGCATAAGACAGTGGGCTGGTGTACCAATACTACCTGTCCCACGTCAGACTTGCAACTCATTAGTTGGCGAAAACGGTTAATAATAAAAAGCATTGCACGAATAAAAGTTTTCGCCATTCTAAACGTAATCGGCCATCAGCCATTTTGGTGCTGTCAACAACACAATTACAAAAAAAGAATTCCCCCCCCCCCCCCCCCCCAAAAAAAAAAAGTACATATGAAATCCAAACTCACAGTGTCACATCAAGCACTCAGTTAAATAACGTGGTTGTGGAAGCGTTGGACTTCCTTGTTATCTTTTTTTCCAGAAGTGGGGAATATTCATCAACAAAACCTAGCTGACGAAACAACTAAAGATTGTTAGCCGATTATCAGCCATTTTGGCAGTATATGAGATTTACTTATATGACAGGGGAGGAATATAAAATGAAAATAAACGCTAGAAGACAGAGACAATGATGATAGGAAGACATAAAGACAATTTGGAAGTTAAATTAAAAAACAACACCTTGAGACAAACAGAGGAATTTAAGTATTTTGGGAGCAATTTTTACATCCGACGGAAAACTGGACAGAGAAATTAGCTCCAGATGTGCCAAAGCGAATCAAATATGGGTCAACTATCTCCCCTGTTGACACACAAGCAGATACCTGGGAGTACTAAAGTGAATCTTATCAGAACTATTTTTTGGCCAACAATATGCTATCAATGCCAGACGTGGACACTTACATCCTCCAATGAACGTAAAATTGTGACAACAGAGATGAAATGCCTTTGAAGAGCTGCAGGAATTTCAAGGAAAGACAGTATACGAAATCATGAAATCAGACGAATGCTAGGAATAAAGCCAGTCTTACAGGTCATCAAAGAACAACAAATGAAATGGTTTGGACACCTAACAAGAATGCCCTGGTACTATCCATCACAGCGAGCCACACTAAAACGTTACAACGGGTACAGAGCGAGTGGAAGACCTCAGAAAATATGGAGTGATGGCATTAAGAACAGCCTTACAGAAATGAACATCAGTCTTAATAGTGCTCTTGACAGAGCTCATCAACGAACATTACATCTCCCCCGACAATTAGGTAAAACGTGGAAGAGAAGAAGAAGAAGAAGAAGACTTATATGACAAGAGAGTTTGTCGTAGTGAGAATACAGCCAGACCAAACTGCATATGATTTTTTCACAACAGAACATCTGGAAGAGAGGAAGACCAATAAGGAGAAGGGTAAATGTAGCTAAAACCTGCAAAAAGATAAATAGATCCATCACCGAAGCCACCAGAGAAGCGCAAGACAAACACAGGAAACAACAACAACCTGGTAATTAGTGAGGAGACAAAAGAAGAAGAAAGACAACAGAGATGATTGAAGACATAATAAAATGGACAACTCTAATATTTCTGCAAGACTGACAGCCAAGAAACTGTTTTTACAACCATATTGTATTTGTTATTTAAAAAAAAAAAAAAAAACAAGACAGACTAGTAAGAGGGAGATAGCGATACAATTGGAACTATAACCCTGAGAGACTAACGAACAGCAGTCTGTCATAAGTGTACCAGTATATACAAGAAATGATGTGAGAGACGCACAGACAACTCACCTCCGAGACAGGCTCCAAAGGCCAGGGCTATGACTAAAGGCACCAAAGGTAAGTTAACTTGTGGGTCTTCGCTCAGCTGTATCAGTACTGGCACCTGGACATACAAGGTAGGCATTTAGAGCTGGCACCTGGATATACAAGGTAGGCATTTAGAGCGGGGCACCTGGACATACAAGGTGGGCATTTAGAGCTGGTACCTGGACATACAAGGTGGGCATTTAGAGCAGGTACCTGGACATACAAGGTAGGCATTTAGAGCTGGCACCTGGATATACAAGGTAGGCATTTAGAGCGGGGTACCTGGACATACAAGGTGGGCATTTAGAGCAGGTACCTGGACATACAAGGTAGGCATTTAGAGCAGGTATCTGGACATACAAGGTGGGCATTTGTTTAATGTAATGGCACCTGGACAAACAAGGTGGGCATTAGTTTAATGTAATGGCACCTGGACACACACAAAAAAAGGTATCAGGTAATATCAGTACTGATGCTTGGATATACATGGTAAATATTTGTTTAATTCAGCAGTTGCAATACTAAGTAACGTTGAGTGATAGGACAGGACGCACTGAAAGTAACGGCAACAGCAGATATGAGAAACAGTTCTCGACCCATCGCATTGTTAAGCTTTTACAGAAAATAATTGTCTCAGACTCTACTGAACTCTTTACTTAATAAATTACATTTACTAAGGTCATAAGTGATGAGTGACATGAGAACTGAACATAGAATTGATGAGGCCCTAAGATATATAAAGCCCTGAGGCTCCTACCGTCTTAAATTACATGCACTAATCTCATTAAATCTTTACAATAAATACACGAAACGAACAGTCCTGGCTGTAATGTAGATAATGTCAATTGTATCTTTTTCTAATTCAGCATTCCGAGCCTTTTAGGTTCATTGCTGCAGATATCACCCGCCTCCATTCATCTCTCTGGCTGGTCTTATCTTTCCAGTTGATAACACCAAATGTTTCCTGGTCTGTCTGGACACAATCTCTCCATATTCTTCTTGGTCTGCCTCGCAGTCTACGACCATTTATCTCCCTTATGTATATGTCCCTTGTGACAAATATATTGTCGTTCAGTTTTTTTTTTAAATGAGTAATAAAGAATGTGTCTCAATGTGTCCGCAAAGTTGCAGAAATTATATTATAAAATTTTCTTATAGGTTTTATTAAAGGAAAATTGCATTTGTGAAAGAAGGGATTTGTTGAGGCCCCTACAGATTGTGATAGTCTAAGCTGCAGTTAGGTCAGCGTATGCCTAAATCCAGCAGTAATACGCAATCTATTCATCCCCTTGTGGGATGCCATTTTTCGTTATTTTGAAGCCCCACCCTGGCTCTTGCCAGGGGCTGCAGAATAGCCCGGCCATAAATATGGCCTAATGACTGAACGCGGTTACCGGGATCTCTCCACGGGTGATCCTCATCCACATGGTGGCACTTTTTTACATCGGGTGTTTATCGCTTGTGTGATGTCCTAGTTGGGTAAAATGTACTACTACTACTACTAAATCCAGCATTGAGTACCACTTACCATGGCGGTGGTGTAGGGGATATTGTCGATGAAACTGGACGAGATGGCCGACACCCACAGAATGACCACCACGGCCAGCAGCAGGCGGTTGCCCTCGTCCACGGACACGATGATGTCCGCAATGACGTCACCGATGGTTTTGATTAGCCCAAGTTCAGCCAATGCCTGGTTCCAGAAGTAAACATGAAGGAAACAAATGTAACTCTGTCGCAGACAGTGTATTTTGTGAGGCTGTGTATTGTGTGAGGCTGTGTATTGTGTGAGGCTGTGTATTGTGTGAGGCTGTGTGTTGTGTGAGGCTGTGTGTTGTGTGAGGCTGTGTGTTGTGTGAGGCTGTGTGTTGTGTGAGGCTGTGTATTGTGTGAGGCTGTGTATTGTGTGAGGCTGTGTATTGTGTGAGGCTGTGTATTGTGTGAGGCTGTGTATTGTGTGAGGCTGTGTGTTGTGTGAGGCTGTGTTTTGTGTGAGACGGTGTGTTGTGTGAGGCTGTGTATTGTGTGAGGCTGTGTGTTGTGTGAGGCTGTGTGTTGTGTAAGGCTGTGTATTATCCATGTGTGCCAGTCAACATGTTATGTGTGTTTTTATATTTTATATACTTTTAGTGAGGGGTTCTGAATGAATGAATGAATGAAAGAATTAATGAATGAATGAATGAATGAATGAATGAATGAATGAATGAATGAATGAATGAATGAATGAATGAATGAATGAATGAATGAATGAATGAATGAATTGACATTACTGCACTCGGGACATTCCCAGAGGTGCTCCCTCCCCTTCTTTAGTAGCCAAAGAAGAGTTGACATGCTACAAGTACCGGTTGCAACCTGATTAAAAGTCCGCCTATATTGCCTCTTCAATGTTGAATAGCTTGCAGATCCTCTACACAACACCTGTTGAATTAGTCTATCAGTGAATGGATTCCTGACTCTGACAACATTTTATTTCCTGCAAAGATTATACATTTGGCCCCTATAAACGTAGCAAACCCAAGAGTTTAGTATTGTTCTTATTAACTTCCTGGGACAGTGGGAAAAACCTCGTGGGAATGAAAGAGTTAACAACGGGTTGACATGAGAATGTTATCTACAACCAGGACAACTGGTTTCGTGTAAAACGTGGACAATAAATAGACAAGATAATGAACATATTCTGGTAGCCCTATTGTGGTTTCTCAAGATATTACAAAGAAAACCACGGACGGGCGGAAATAACATGAGGCAGCCCTTTAAGAAACACATAATTGTAAACTGATTTGAAAAATTGCATAGAGGCAAGATATTTCACGACAGATGAGATTTAACTCCACAAGTGAGTGATAACCGGCCCAAAAAAATGCCACAAGAGCAGAAGGAAGACACGCGATGCATGCTTGGATTTTCTGACTACAAATTATCGGGATCAGAACATAGGGTGCGCTTGAGATTGGTTAATCGTGTGAAAACTATACTTTAAAAAAAAAACAATCGCATAGTTATCTGATTGCGCTTTTTTTTTTTTTTTTTTTTATAATTGACGAGAAATCAATACGCCTAAAATCTACGATGACCAGATGCAAAAGAACTGTCAATTGATTCGTTGATCCCTCAGGTATTCTTAAGTGTAATTTAAACAGTTTCACTCTTTAAATTACCAAGATTATAAATGTAAACATTATGACAGATATTATTTTCAGTAGCTATGCGTTTCTTTCTTTCTTATTTTTTCTTTCTCTCTTTCTTTCTTTCTTTCTTTCTTCTTTCTTTCTTTCTTTCTTTCTTTCTTTCTTTCTTTCTTTCTTTCTTTCTTTCTTTCTTTCTTTCTTTCTTTCTTTCTTTCTTTCTTTCTTTCTTTCTTTCTTTCTTTCTTTCTTTCTTTCTTTCTTTCTTTCTTTCTTTTCTGTCTTTCTTTAAAAAACAAAACTCTTTCCAATATCTGATAGAGACAAATATATCGCAATCAGGGTTTGTAAGTTAGGGAAAGTTGTTTCCGTGAAGCTCTGTGATGAATTGTGGGTCTGGGGTTCAAATGTGGGGTCAGGAAAGACCGAGCCAATGCTATACATTTCAATGAAACCACTGTTTGAAACAAAGAAGTAAGTTGCAGAACCAACCCAAACATTTTTGCTGTTTGGTTTTACTAAGCAGTTATACATACAGTAGTTTGTCCTTGCTTACTGAACGGCCGGCTAAGTGAATGTCTAATATTCCGTGCACCGAGTGTACTAGCATTGTTGGAACCGAGTGAGAAATAAGGCGGGAGTGAAACTCGTGCTGAAGTTGAATCTGACTTAGGATCAACAACAAGAAATGTGTGTATACATTACCTCCATAAGAATGAAAAGTGCCGCAAAGAAGAGCAAAGTGCTCCACTCCACCTTGTGGAGGATGCCATCAAAGTCAGCGATGTCGGCCAGCACCAATAGCCAGATGGCTCCCAGTACAGCAATCCAACCTGTGAGGTAGGAGATCAAAACGTCACCCTTGAGAATGTATATCTTGCTTGTCTTAGAAAGTATGTTGTGTAAACAGTTTGAGATTTGTTGCCATCTCTTAGTAGTCTCCCTTGTATCCACAAACAGGGCGTAAATCCACAGCCAACTCATGCCATGGCGTCGTATTCTTTGCTATCGCATGCAGCTCACCTGATGTCCTCCCAGTTTGTTGACTTCGCTCTCGTTTCTTTCTCCTTGCGCATTAGATCTGCTCTTATCTGTTTAGCTTTGTAGGGGTTGGCAGCACAGCTACTTACAGATATTAATGATGGAATTATTAATGAAACAAGGCCTATAAAAAATCAATTATCAACTACATATTTTTGTAATGTACATGCACGGACAGACAAACAATGCAAAAATAGAATATACAAAATTAGAACCACAATAACGTGATAATCGTATTTAGAAAAGCATAACAATAAGCATTGTTACTGGCACGATTAGTGTTGCAACTCTTCGATGCCTGCTGAAGATGAGGGCGGAGCACGTATGGGAATATCCTCAGTACTATGATGTCAATTCTAAACTGGCAGACAGACATGTGTATTTTCCTGGGAGAAATTGCAGTGAAGTGGTTTTTGTTTGTTGTTGTTTGTAACTGTAACTGTAACTGTAACTGTAACAATATCTATTTTTGTACACGTCCTGATGAAGACTTTTAAGCTGTAACGTTCACTTGTCGTTTTGTGTTTGTGATAACGTAAAGCTAACTAATTCTACTGTTTGTTGGGTTTGATACTTTTATATGGCATTTCTCAACTCAGCTCTGCAACCCAACAACCCAAGGCAACAATAATAGGACCCTTTCCCCACGCTCTTAGACGTATTAGGCACATAGGGCTAGACCTATATTTGTTGACTAATCAGCACTCAGTGGGTTATGTTGTCAACATCACGCCTACCGCCTTTACTTCTCCGGACTTTACCTCGTACCCATTTAAAGCTGGATCGATCGGGGAGCCAAGGTCATGCTCGACTCTATACGGATTTGAAACAACGACTTTTGGACCCGCAGACGAGCTTCTAGCCGCTACACCACGGCGGCGGCTCACACAGCGGCGGTTCACGCGGTGGCGGTTCACACGGCGGCGGCTCACACGGCGGCGGTTCACACGGCGGCGGCTCACACGGCGGTGGTTCACACGGCGGCGGTTCACACGGCGGCGGCTCACTAAGACTTGGCATAAAGAATGAAATAATAATCAGCTGACCTATGTCCAGGTAGATGGAGGTGACGAAGGAGTACATGAAGAGGAACAAGATGACCACAAACACCACCAGCGTGCTCTTGACCAGCAGGACATAGTCTTTGATGCAGTACTGCAAATATACAAGTTCAGTCACACTTCGATTAACAGTCGCCGTCAGAACCAGGGCTGTGTCGGATAGACAGATAACAGAAATCTCTTCAAACATACATACAGTAACTTGATTTCACTGCAGGCTTGGGATGAAAATAATAAAAGTGAATACATACGATCACTGATCACTAGCATCATGAGAGCTAACAGACTGAAATGTTTGGGGCATATTGAAATATGTCAGATGATAGAGAAGTAAAAACTGTATACAAAAGGGAGATGAATGGTCGTGACAACGAGGCAGACCAAGAAGAATAAGGAGAGATAATGTCCGGACAGACATGCAAACACTTGGAGTTTACCAACTGGAAAGAGAGGGGCAACTATAGAGATGAATAGAGGCGAGTGCTATCTGCAGCAATGAAACTCAAGGGCTCTGAATGCTGAAGAAGAAGATACGTACTTTCTGACTGACTGACTGTCTACTCTACCAGGACATCACACAAGCGATAAACACCCGATGACACAAAGTGCCACCATGCGGATGAGGATCACCGTGAAGAGGTCCAAAAAACCGCGTTCAGACAATTGGCCATATTGATGGCCTGCCTATATTGCGGCCCCTGGCAAAAGCCAGAGTGGGGCTTCAAATAACAAAAAATTACGTCCAAAGAAGGACGTAAGGAATATACGTACTTTTTTAGTTTAGAAGACGATAAATACAACTTCAGTATAAGAGTAGCAACGTACACAAATTCATTATAATTCTAAAAACCTACATAACATTACATTAATCTGTCATCGCCTTCTGTGTCCCTGAGGTTCAAGATTCAGCGCCATGATGTTCCGTACTAGTTTCTTATCCATTTAATTGCCTTGGTCATTGTTTTGAGACCTGAAAATGGGATCCTTTGACCCCTGGCTTGTAAAAAGCATTGATACATTGTGTTATCCAGCTGCTAGGGTGTAATTTTAATCAGAATACACTTTTATACATTTCTCTTTGTTTATTGATACCATGCACGCGTGGAATTCAATATGGCCGGTAGGTTTACGTGTATTTATAATAGTATTTATGAAATGTAAATCATGTATGAAGTTATAAAGAAACTTCTGGTATGTTGTCTGGAACCGACATATTTAACTTTTACCAGCTCCACAAACCACAAACGAAATCAAACCTAGGACAAGGGGCAGTTACTCTATGCTCACTTGCCTGTGTTTCCAGCTTTCTGATTGTCTCCCTCAAATCTTGACTTTCCTCTCGTCTGGGGACAGAAACAAAACTTAACTAGCATTTGAAACTAACATTCTCCGAGACTGATTGACACTCATAGCTGGGAAGCAATATGGCAGAAATGGTAGAGCACGGGAAAGAATATAAATACAGAAAGTCATTAGGGTTGGAAAACGCACTCTACATATGATGACAGCGCCTCGATTCGAAATACATCATCATCATTATCAGGTCGTTCACAGAAGGTCGCTCTCTTCAGCGCACGCTGAAAGCCTCTCTTTCCATAGACAGTTCTCCCGCCTGTGTGCTTTCATAGACAATACATCTTCAATATCTTGTGTCCACGTTCGCGGAAGTCTGCCTCTGCTTCGTTTTCCGGAAATGTACCCGGCATAAATGCTTTCTCCAGGCCTCAACATGGCGACAACATCGGCTTCTGGGACAGGATGGCGTTTATGAGCCAATTCTCTTCGATACTCAAATCATGCAGGATGTCTGTGGTTTTATTCTTCTTGTCCAAGTATTCTGAAAATTGTCAGTGGCATTTTAATTCACAAGCTCTGATTTTGCTTTTCCTTGACACAGTCCAATTTACTGAATAACATCAATGACATACAAGAGACTAAACGCTATGAGACCTTCAGTTTCGTGAAAAATAATTTTTCACTGAATAGACTGCATTCCCTGGAGGTACCTGTACCAATTGGAGCCGCGAGACAGGAAAACCATGCGGAAGCCACATGTCGTTACATCAGCCAGAGCAGAATGTGAGTTGTTAGCCTAAAAACACTTAGAGGCATACTCAGGATGAGATCGGAGCACTTATGGTCATGTCTGATGTGCGATGAACATGATCCCTAAATGAACTTTGAACTATGAACTATGAATAACAGTCCATGTCTCACATCCATAAGTTTCCGCAGGAACAATGTTTTATTTTGTTAACTTGCAGTTGCGGTGCCATAGGCTCTTCAGGTTGCATAGTTTATGTACTTCTTAAGTAAGTCTTTTTCTGACTTCCTTTAGGGCAGCCGCCATTGTTACTCACTACTGAGCCTAAAATTCAAAATCTGTTACGGTTTCAATCTCTTTGTTATCGGTTTTAATACTTGGTTCGCGTGCATTCGACACACAGATGAGTAAAACACCTAAAAAGATTGGTTTTCTTCTTCTTCTTTCTTCTTTACTTCCTCTTTTACCAGTACGTGTGTCGAGGGAGGATACAAGGTCCTGCTTCGTGCTCTTCTGGCTACTTCGACCATCGACACATCGTGGTGCTTTAGAGTTTCTCTGATGTTATCTTTTCATGTTGTTCTTGGTCTACCTCTTGCTATACGTCCCTCTCCTCTTTTGGGATATGCCTTGTATGGTATAGCATTCCGAAGGTATTCTTTTAAGTGGGCATACCATTTGGTTTGCTTTCTTTGTATGTAATTTAGAATTGGTTCTGGACCGAATTTCTCTCTTTTGACCTCATTCCTGATTTTATCTTTTCTGGTGACTCCTACAGCCTTTCTCAGACACTTCATTTCCATGGTTACTAATTTTCGTTATGTCTGGCACTGGTAGTATGAATATGCCTTGTATGAGATGTTTCTGTGCTAAAGGGAATTGCCTTATGCTTTAAGAAGAGAGCTAGCTGTCCTAATACTTGACCGGCGTTACTGCAAAAGACGGGTCATTAACCATAAAATATCCACCTGAACTATCTCGTACATTTATATAGACATAATGCAAGCACACACAAGCATCAGTACACACACACACAAGCATCAGTACACACACACAAGCATCAGCACACACACACAAGCATCAGTACACACACACAAGCATCAGTACACACACACAAGCATCAGTACACACACACAAGCATCAGTACACACACACAAGCATCAGTACACACACACAAGCATCAGTACACACACACACATAAACAAACAGTTACCGTCTGCGATGTAGAGTTTTATACAAGGCGTGCTCAGTCTCTACAGCTTTCTGCATGAACATCGCCTTCATCAGCGTCTCCTCCCTGGTGACCACTTGGAGTCTACCCGCGGCCCTCACCCACATGGCGTACTCGTGTTTCATTTCTGAGGGAAGAAGACAGGACAGTTAGTTCACACTCACACACATGGCGTACTCGTATTTCATTTTTGAAGGAATAAGACAGGATAGTTGATTCACAACTCTTAGTTCACACACACATACACTCATGGCGTACTCGTGTTTTATTTCTGAAGAAGAAGACAGGACAGTTAGTTCACACCCCTTAGTTCACACCCCTTAGTTCACACTGCCTGCGATGACTCTCTTTTATCTTCTATCTGGCTCGCATCATCGCACGCTTGCTATCTCACATACCGACATCACACGACACTGCCTAATTCACACCCTCACCTACATGGCGTACTCGTGTTTCATTTCCTTGCCTGATCGTACGAATGTTATTTTATCAAACCTCGTGTCTTCTAACAGCATTTGTTCATAAATGGTCGTCATAGAGCCGCCCCCCCCCCCCCCCCCCCCAAAAAAAAAATCACCCTATCGTTCACTCGCACTCCTGCATATCCCTGACAGTATATCCACTTAGTTCCCTGTTATATTGACGGGCTGTTCCCTAGAACCCACTCATGCCACATTTGTCCATTTTGAACCTTTAACAGCACCGACTGAGAATTAAAGACCTTAATTCCTCTGGTAACTATATTTTCTACTATCCACATCAGAGCTGTAGTGATTGCCTCCACCTCCATCCTCATGATCGAAGTTGTGGACACACACACAAAAATTCTCCTCGATCCTTTCCTTCACTCTATCTGAAAACCTACCAGAAGGGACTGTTAACATTGAAAGGCCCATTACCTGCAATATCCGGTGGGTCTTTATTCTTCAGCGCGTCCATGTTTCTGTAGTAGAGCCTCAAGAGACCGTAGCCAGCGAAACTGACCAATATGATGCCCGGGAACGCGTGCATGGTAAACTCCGTGAATGTGATGCCCTGCAAACCAACATCATTAAGTGAGGATGTGTTCACTAAATATACACACAGACATAGCTGAGTATTTGTTCAGGCTCAATTAGGGACAATTAAATCAGTAACAGTATTACAGGACTACTGGGCACCATGTACTATTGCACCAGGACCAGATTTCATAGTTAAGACCTATGAACACATCTTCACGGCCATCCAAGAAAGGGATCTGTTCACGTTTCCCGGCCTATCTACACATTTTCTTAGTCCGAACTGGGTCAGAGCGGTGTCACGCTGTACTGCATTCTTGGAAATGAGTTGCTCGTCTGACCTGGGCTCAGGTTGTGGGTAGGGATATGTGTCGTCGTGTAGTATAGAACACGCGCCAACAGCGCTGATGTAACTGGAGGCAAGACAACCTGACACCCCTCCGACGTAGACGAGTCTAAAAAGCATGAATGAAAGGTCAGACAGTGTGTAAATGGGCTGGAAAACGTGAACAGGACCCAAGAAAGATATGTCCAACCAGGGGCTTGGCAGATATCCATAGTATCGACGTTTTCTTTAATGTCGAACCCATACAGGGAGGTTCCTGGCAACTTCCAGAGGACAGAATTATAAATGTCTCAGAACTTATCTTATCGCAACGCAGTTGGTTAAACCTGCCTTCGTGGCGACAGGGTTATGAACTCCTTGTGGTCTGGGCTCATGCCGGGGAGTGGGGAGAGAAGCTCCATTTCCCCCAGATTTACGGTATCTATCATGGAAGCAAGGCCGAAGGGTTGCGGTATCCATAGTTCCGAGCCAAAAGGTTCACAAACAACTCATGGTTTCTGGATACTAAGCAAACAAAAAAGTCACACTGGAGATACAATGGCTGAGAAACGCTGATGGTGTCTTCAGAAAAAGTCATCATAAAGAGGGTAGACATAACATTGATATCATTGAGAAATAGTGCCCATTACATATTACCTACAAACTTAATAACCTCTTTCCTTGTCTTTTTATTGTTAATAACAAGTCGATTGCTATTCTGAAAATAACCATAAAAGCTTGTGTTTGGTATCACTATATCACAGCTTTTCCAACATATAATATCACAACAGCTAGTCTACTCTCTGAATAGGTATAAAGCATTCGAAAGTTGCAGTTAACCAGCATCACCTGGATCCACACACGTGAGAATGCCGGAGTAGAAGGTAATGAAAGAGCCGATTAGCTGGCAAGTGACACACCGATGCATGAGGGAAGACGCATGGACAGAGCTGATATCATTCACGCTGTACGTACTAGGCTGGCGGACAAAGACAAACTCTAGCGCTAACACGATTGCGTGGCCTGGGAGTAAAAGCTTTGTGAAGCGTGTCTGTGCCGTCTTCGAGACCAGGATAGGAGACATTACAACAGATGCTCATTTCAACAATAAGTAAGATACCTCTCAGTGGTAGCTGCTTCGGATGACAATGCAGACACCAGTCATGTCGCAGTAAAACATTTTAGCTCTAAATTAACTCTGTATAAACTCCAGAAAGAAATAATGTCCTAAAAAGTTAAAATTCAATCCTCTTTTCGATGGTAATTATCATCATGGTCAAGTGCCATGACGACAGGCGTGTACGATTATGCCTCCCTACAATCTGCGACCCGCAACTGCATCTCTTAGTTCCTGTGTTGACATCCCTTGTACCACGACAAAAGATTGTCAAGAAACTTCTCACGTTGTCTTCCCCTGTCTCTCTTTATCCACAGATTTTTCCAGTTTTCACACGTTCCAGTTTGTTTCTTCTCAAAACATGACCAACAAATGTTGAAGGCCTCTTTCTAATGTTTGTGATGTTGTATTCAAGCCCTCGTCTGTTTCCAACCATCTCGGTTGCTACTTTTTAGCTGTCCAAGGAATTCTGAGGATTCTACTGTAAAACCACATCTCCGAGGCCTCAAGAAATTGGTTGTTTATTAATTGTCCAAGATTCATTTTGTAAAATACAGTTTTGGCCTGTTATATTCTATTCTTTATCTCTGTGATACATCTTCCGTCGGATGTTATCCATGTACATTACATTTCTGTACTTGTCCTAAAATAACGACTTTGACTTGTATTATACATTTCGACACTATTCCTTTTTTTGGTATTACCGTTACTTTTGTCTTCCCTTTGTTCAAACTGAGGCCCACGTTATCACTTTCTACCACCGCCGTATCTTTCTGATTTATCGCTACCAAGACGGTGTCATCAGCACAACGCAGGTTATTTATGTTATACCACCAACCACATTCTGATATCTATATATAATAATAAATTTTTCTGTATGGCTGTTTAAAAGTATGGGGTCCGTCACAGACCAACACTGAAAGGGGTAGGCAGGTTTTGGATAATTGTAAAACCACTGGAAGATTTTAGGGTTTTTTAACAGGAGGGGGAAGGGGTTTGTGGTGGGAGTGTTGGGGGAGGGAGGAGGGTGGTAATATCCTTTAGAACAAACGAAAACAATTACCCGACTACTGAGAGCCCCAACAATGATGACGTTTGGCGGGTCTCCGATGGCTGTAGCAGTGCCCCCAATGTTGGAAAACAAGACCTCGGCGATGAGGATTCTTTGTGGCTCCAGGTTCAAAACCTCACACAGTCTGCAAGAGAGAGAGAGAGAGAGAGAGAGAGAGAGAGAGAGGGGGGGGAGAGGTGTAAAATGTTCAGCTGTAATGATTTCATTCCGGTCAATATGGAAGATAGTCGAGTTTACTATGTTTAATCGTGTCAAGTTATTTTTTCCGACAACAGTTTCGTTGGGTATAGTTTCGTCACCCAACTACTGAGTTAAATGAATTGCTCCACATTGCAAGCTGCTGATTGCATTTAGAATGCTTTTCAGCTGGGCTCAACGTGGTTTGTGTTGTCAACTGTCCAATAAAAAAAAATGGCGAGTGGCCTGCTACTACAGAACTGCTGGTGCCTTATGCGATTACTCACGTCTGCAGCGATTGATGTGTTGTAACTGCTGTCTCTATCGATGCATTTCTAGTGTCGGACTGTTTGTGTTGGCACCTTTGATGGCTGCCCTATGCATTTATTGGGTGCGTATGCTATTGAACATGCTGAAACTGCAATCATTTTTTTCGTCAAGGGACAGTGATGGACATAATGGGTGGGTTTTCCCTGGCCCAGGAACGGAGCAAATATGGGCTGATACGCTGGCTATGAAACTGGAACTGCCGTCACGGGCTTGCTCAAAGGGTGGTGTCAGTCAGAATCCATTATTGTATGAGCACTCTCTATGTTCTGTCTTAGCGGGAAAGATGCCTCTCTTCTGAACCATTTAGCTCCATTGTCAACCCAGACTAAAATAAGGTACCAGCTTACGTCTGAGAAGTAAAGGAGGCCGGCATGTTTCGACCTCATCATCCACCTAGTCCGATTGGTTTGTTAAAAAATATGATTTTAGCATCAAATGCCTGAAGGGTCATCATCGCAACAAGAACCCGTGACTTTAATTACGTTTTACTTACTTTTTAATTTGTTGATAATTATATAACGTGATTATATAACGCCAGGCTCTCGTGCGGGTTGACCCGGGTTCGATTCCCGAGTAAAGTGATGAAGTTTTTCTGTCGGGGGCAAACATTAAACATCCTAACCTGCACAGTCCGTGGCGACAGCTCTAGCCACACAGCCCTAGATTCTCGGGCTCACGACACCTCTGTCTACACAGCACTAAAATGTGGTACAGTTTCTGACAGTTTAGATAATGATATAATTTTCATACCTGATTGTTACTGGGGCTACAAGAAGGATCGTGGTCACGTTGTCCAGGAAGGCGGACACGACCGCACTGAACACACACAAGAGGGTGATCAATGGCCACACTTTTCCTTTGGCGAGTCTGTATGCCTGTGGACAAGACATCACATAACATTACATAACACATACCATAACATAATATAACATATACCATAACATAACATATACCATAACATAACATAACCCTTGCCTCGTTAGGATCGTGATGTATCGATGGAAGCATTAGCACACACAACCCGCCATCTTTCTCTGATTTTCGCTTGATGAATAAGTGTATGATAACTTACTCTTGCCCATTTCTTGATGTTGTCATTCCAGGTTCTACTTTTCCCTGTTATTCTTCGACTAGCCCCGCCCCCTGTGTTCCTTGAAGTATATTCTTTGCAGTCGAACCATTTCTTACCAAGGGATGCGTTTTATGGGTTCAGTCTAAGACGACTGTTCACATTCTAACTCCCTTCAGTGTCATGGAAGTTTGCAAGAGACTGTCTTCAAGGTATGGTTAGTGGATTGGTTGACTGTTTAGTGGTTGTTTAGTTTGCGGGTTGGTTTGATTTGGGAGTCGCTTGTTTGGTGGTTAGCTATTTTGATTAACTACATCCTTGGTTTCTGACTGACTGGCTGATTGATTGGTTTGTTTATCGGTTGACTAATTGGCTGTTTGGTTGGCACTGTGACACTACCTAGTTTGTCCATGCTCCTCAAGAACAAGCAATCTTATCAGAACCAGATGATAAGAGACAATCATAGTATGTCTATTGTGTAAAAACATCCTGACAATTAAACAATTCATACGAAGTTAAGATTGTTTATTATAAACAACACAATGTTAATTCAAGTACGACGATAATTTCATTGAAACAATAATACGAACACTTCAGTCTAGGTTGCTGCGACGCATGTTGCCCACTTCCAACAGGTTATTGACTGTTATCAAATGTGTCTGATGTCTCTTTTAACGTACAGCATAAATATATTTCTTCTAACAAAGTTTAAGTTGTGTCCTCTTTTGGGTACACCTCAATTACTCTTAACAAGTCTGTTATTTGCTTTCAATTTCATTGACTCCTCAGCCATCAGAAGACCGACTATATTCACAAGTTTAAGTTTTTATTCTTGACTTTTGAGCTAAACACGCCAGAAAATCCTGGCCCTCTCTGCCCTTTTCCTGCGCTTCCCTTTGTGTTCCCTGCTTCCTGGTTATATCATTCCCTCTCAAAGCGTGGGCGATTTGTTCCATCGCTGACACCCATTCTCTCAGCTACTGTAGATTCTCTTTTCTGTCATTTCGCTTTATCTACAGGAAAGATTAACAGACTTTTGCTGTCTGTACCCTGACATGTGTATTCTGACCTCGCTTTAACTGCCATACCATAATTAAACGCAAGTGGGATAATGGTTTCGCTTCGGTGCTAGCCTGCACCTACTCTCCTCATTGCACACATCCTTCAGTGTCAGGTATGGCTGTAATCTAAGATTGTTGGCATTCTACTAGAGAGTGAAACACTTACCACCAGCGCTGAAAAGTCAAAGAATCCGGTCTCAGCAAATATCCCTACAATTATCATCATCCCAAAGAGCAAGGTCAGGGTATCCATGTCAACCCACTCCATTATCATGGACAGTGTGGGTCTCTGGTGGGACACATAGAGTATCATAGTTTATGAAAGCTTCATAAATTACATTATCTACTAATTTCTCCTTCTTCAAAGATGAAGAAGATCTAATTATTTTACGCGTATCACATCCTCATCTTCATCTCCTTCTTCTTTCTTTCTCTTCTCTTCCATGTTCGCCCTTAAAAGGGTGACTATGACTGACTGACTTTCTAACCCACCAGGACATCACACAAGCGATAAACACCCGATGACACAAAGTGCCACCATGCGGATGAGGATCGCCGTGGAGAGGTCCCAGAAACCGCGTTCAGACAATTGGCCATATTGATGGCCTGCCTACATTGCGGCCCCTGGCAAAAGCCAGAGTGGGGCTTCAAATAACAAAAAATTACGTCCTAAGAGGACGTAAGAAATAATTGCTTGGCACGTGAGCTACTGTGACTAGGCTTGGCTTAGCTTTTTACCCCACCAGGACATCACACAAGCGATAAACACCCAATGACACAAAGTGCCACCATGCGGATGAGGATCACCGTGGAGAGGTTCCAGAAACCGCGTTCAGACATTTGGCCATAATGATGACCTGCCTATATTGCGGCCCCTGGCAAAAGCCAGAGTGGGGCTTCAAATAACAAAAAATAACGTCCTAAGAAGGACGTAACGAATTATAAAACATGTGACTAGGACGTTGTGTCGTGGTTTACAGCTAGGCTTCCATATTTCTACCTTCCGGCCTAACACTTGCGATTTCAGCAAACTAATAATTAGGTGCCTTTTACGACATAATTCTTGACGTACAGTGTTCTGTGCATACCTGAAATAGGTCTTCGACACCAGGTCCTTCTGTATATAAATAGAGAAGGCCGTGTTCGAAACCTACTGTGAATAGGGGGCATAAGTAAAGCGTCTGTGTCGAAAAGGAAGACAATCGTGAATTTACATAGTTTAAACAATGTTAATTGTTGCCTCCCTTCACATGACGTTGCATACCCAACCCCAGTCTTTTTTGTCTGTTGTAGTTTTTCTAGGCAAGTTTGCGTCCAGTAAATTGAGTTCAAAATGAAACAAAAATTAATCCTTTAAAAAAAAAAAAAAACATTTTAGAGTACAGTTAAACAGGACTTTCCGGATTTATACCTGTTTGATTCTCATGCTTCAGGTTATTTTAATCTTACGTAATGCCACCCTGGAGATGGGAAACTTTAAATTGGAAACTTTGCAAGGCATAGAGGTTTAGTTATGTCCTTGCAGAGAAGGACTATTTAACCGGCGGCCCGCGGATCATCGCCATTTTTCTTGTGCTAAGGATGTTCCTGTGGTGGGCCTCGTGCCTCTGGTCTATGACGATCCTCATTTTCAACACGTTGGCCCCTGAATAAACTGAGTTGACTAGCCCAGTTGTAGAGTAGCCAGGGCCAATGTGCAAACCGTCTGCCTGGCACTCTGAGAATCGTGGGTTCTTTTGACCACTGTGTCGTTCAGTTCACGCGTGCAGTTTCTACAGAGACCCCGTGGGGATCTCGCCGGATCTACGGAGTTCATGTGGGTTTTTTTTTTTTTTTTTTTTTAAGTTTGAAAAGGCCTTTTTTTTTTTAAACCTCATGAGGCGAATGCTGGACTAGAGCGCCTACTTTTATAGATCAGTCAGAACTGCTGGTATATTGAGAGCAATATCTTTATGATAATCAATCAACAGTTCCCTTACAGAACGTCGCTCTCGTCGCGGCATGCCTGAAAGCCTCTCTTTCTGTAAACAAGGATCCTGCCCTATGTGTTTTCATTACCAGTGCGTCTTCAGTGTCTTGTAAACAAGAGCTCTGCCTTTGCCTCTTTCTCCGCAAACTGTGCATCCTCCACTACTGTTCTCTCCAGGCCACTATGACGTTTAACACAATAAGCTGATGATATCTCACCATTCACCTTTACTTGCCAGAATATTTCCAGTTATCTATTTTAGTTTGGCCTGACCTGTGAGTTCAGTTCAGTCTGTTAAATCCCCGCCCAGATGATGATTCGAGTACATCCCTGCAGGACTGGAGGCGAGTGTGCTAGCCAAGAACTGTCACAACGTTCAATTTCCTTGTACAGCTCGCCTGAATCTAAGTGTTTTAGTCAATAATTCTATGTAAATCTTATTGTTTCTGTGCCTGGTTGTTCGCTGGTACTTGTCAGTCAACGCACTTACTTCATTGACGGAGGAGAGGACGGCCAGGGCAGCCAGGGCTCCCAGCAGAGCTGCCAGAGTTCTGTGGACGAGCTGCAAATAAAAGTCAAACGGTGATAACACACGGTGCGTCGTGTGGGACTGTCGGAACACACAGTACGTCGTGTGTGACAGTCTGAAATTTTATATGTGACTATCTGAACACATAGTACGTCATTTGTGACTAAAGTTTCCAGTAGGACTATTTGAACACGCAGTACGTCACGTGTGACTGTCTTAAGTTTCTAATATGACTACCTGAACACGCAGTACGTCATGTGCGCCTGTCTAAAGTTTCCAATATGACTATCTGAACACACAGTACGTCATGTGTGACTGTCTGAAGTTTCATATATGACTATTTGAACACACAGTACGTCATGTGTGACTGTCTGAAGTTTCAGATATGACTGTCTGAACGCACAGTACGTCAAGTGTGACTGTCTGAAGTTTCATATATGACTATTTGAACACACAGTACGTCATGTGTGACTGTCTGAAGTTTCAGATATGACTGTCTGAACGCACAGTACGTCAAGTGTGACTGTCTGAAGTTTCATATATGACTATCTGAACACACAGTACGTCATGTGTGACTGTCTAAAGTTTCCAATCTGACTATATTAACACACAGTACGTCATGTGCGACTGTCTGAAGTTTCAGATATGACTGTCTGAACGCAGACTACGTCATGTGTGACTAACTGAACACACACTACGTCATGTGTGACTGTCTGAAGTTTCAGATATGACTGTCTGAAGACACAGTACGTAATGTGTGACTGCCTAAAGTTTCGGATGTGACTGTCTGAACGCACACTACGTCATGTATGACTTTTTGAAGTTTCAGATGTGACTGTCTAAACGCACACTTCGTCATGTATGACTTTCTGAAGTTTCAGATGTGACTGTCCGAACGCACACTACGTGATTTATGACTATCTATCTGATGCCGGTGTGCATAACAGTTATATGAATACCTGAAATGTGAGCTCGATGTTTATGTTTCAGTACGGTCTACATGATAATGAATACTTTTTTTTTTTTTTTTCTTCTTTTTTTTCCCTACTTCTTGTTCTTATTTTTATTCTTGTTTTTCTTAATCCTAATCATCCCCATAATTTTCTTTTTCTTCTTCTTCTTTTTATTTTTCTTCTTCTTCTTCTTCTTCTTCTTCTTCTTCTTCTTCTTCTTCTTCTTCTTCTTCTTCTTCTTCTTCTTCTTCTTCTTCTTCTTCTTCTTCTTCTTCTTCTTCTTCTTCTTCTTCTTCTTCTTCTTCTTCTTCTTCTTCTTCGTCTCCTTCTCCTTTCAATATATATATGTAACTATATAACGTTTATCGGGTCTAATTTCCAGACATCTAGTTTAAGCTGTCATCAATTAGCTCCTGGCCTGTGTCTAGTTCAAGCTGTCACCACTGAGCTCCTGGCCTGTGTCTAGTTCAGGCTATCACCACTGAGCTCCTGGCCTGTGTCTAGTTCAAGCTGTCACCACTGAGCTCCTGGCCTGTGTCTAGTTCAGGCTATCACCACTTAGCTCCTGGCCTGTGTCTAGTTCAGGCTATCACCACTGAGCTCCTGGCCTGTGTCTAGTTCAAGCTGTCACCACTTAGCTCCTGGCCTGTGTCTAGTTCAGGCTATCACCACTTAGCTCCTGGCCTGTGTCTAGTTCAGGCTATCACCACTGAGCTCCTGGCCTGTGTCTAGTTCAGGCTATCACCACTTAGCTCCTGGCCTGTGTCTAGTTCAAGCTGTCACCACTTAGCTCCTGGCCCGTGTCTAGTTCAGGCTATCACCACTTAGCTCCTGGCCCGTGTCTAGTTCAAGCTATCACCACTTAGCTCCTGGCCCGTGTCTAGTTCAAGCTATCACCACTTAGCTCGTTGCCTGTGTCTAGTTCAGGCTATCACCACTTAGCTCCTGGCCTGTGTCTAGTTCAAGCTATCACCACTTAGCTCCTGGCCCGTGTCTAGTTCAAGCTATCACCACTTAGCTCGTTGCCTGTGTCTAGTTCAGGCTATCACCACTTAGCTCCTGGCCTGTGTCGAGGTTTTCCGGGCCTGATCCGTGGCAAGAGAATGTAGCACGTCTGTGGGTATCTGACTATGTTATGGAGGTGACCCGAAAGTAACTAGATGAAAATAGGACTAACCTCGAAAATGATGAGTATGTAAACGAAGATAAGGACCAGAAACGCGTAGAGGACTTGGTGTTCCACGTGCCAGGAGAGTTCTCTGGTGTACCAGGACATGGCGACAACCTGCGGGCTTGAGGCGGTCAGGTTGCAGCTGTCTTCACTGGAACGAAAGATCATTCATTTTAGAATAGACTGGGGCCCTGTTATAGGGAAAAAAAAAAACAGACCCACTGCCTACCTAAAAGCGTGTCCTAAGAGTCGACTAATTGGGAGCTTCCTTCAAAGTCGGGGTGCATCTGCTTGAGAGGCAAGGAATTAGCAGTCAGCATACAAATGAGTCAGATTTGTAAAACGAGTCAGATTTGTAACACTCAGGTTCTGGAACAGGACTGTAGTCCAGAAGTGGATAAATAACCAGAACTTTTCGCTAGAGTTTACAGCTGGTGGACGCGAAGAAGAAGAATAAGAAGAATAGACAGTATAGCATACCGGGTACACACATGCATGATCGGACTCTATCAGCAATTATTGTAATGTGTTAATGTTGAATAATCCGGTAGCAGACTGGCTGGTCATCATCTAAAACGACTCCTCTTGCTGGATTCACAACAAACTTGAAATTCCTACAGCCTGACATTTACAGTTTCCTCTACCATTGTATCTTCTGTGAGTATTTGTTTCCACACATAATCTTCCATTATCGATGTTCCTACCACCGCTTCTTTAGGAGCATGAAATATGCTCGTTTATTCCCTCGAACACTTGCATCACCATTTTAAAGATAATATTCTCCGTGATCCCTTTGTGGGTTGCAATTTTTCGTTATTTTGAAGCCCCACCCTGGCTGTTGGCACGGGCCGCAATATAACCTAACGGTTGAACTCAATTTTCGGGACCTCTCCACCGGTGATCCTCATCCGCATGGTGGCACTTTGTGTCACATGGTGTTTATCGCTTTGTGTGATCTCCTGTTGGGGTAAAAGTTACGTACTCTTTACTCTTAAATTTGATTGTTAGCCTCGCTATCCGAATTAGATTTGGCCTTCACTTGAATTTAGTACCATTACAGGTTATAGTCATTATCATGGGCTCTATACTGTATTAGTAAACATTCATGATCTTGTGATCATGACAATCTTGGAACAATCTTGAACCGTTTACCTAGCAACACCATCATCATCATCATCATCATCGTCGTCAATATCATCATGCTGTGCCTTCTATATGTCACACGAAGCTTGCAGTCCCTTCCTCCATTCCGTTATTTCCTGTACAATCCTTTGTTTTCCTATAATACCGAGTTATCAACTCTCCATATTCTTCTTCTTCTTCTTGTTCACCGGCTGTGAATTCCCGCGGTAAGTCGCGGTTGTTCGTCCAAAATGGACTTTTGGCTTTTACTTTGACCTGAGTTTTGCGTGTACATTCGTTTTACTGGCTTATTTGTTTGCAGTTCTCGTTCCCCGCCTCTCCGGCAGATGTACTCCGACTTCGGAGGAAAACTCTCCATATATGCATGTTTGTATTATTTATAAGTATTAAAAAACAATGGTCCCCAGACTTGCATTAACTTATCTAGTTAAGAGCCAAACGAACCTTGACTGTTGGCCGCTTTCTTGTTAGCCAGCCTCCTTCCTGACTAGTTTTAGCATCTTCTTGTGTCACAGTATGTACCTTAACTTCACAGCAATGGGCCATCTTTGATATATGACCGTTCACTTGTACTCTGTCATACTTGTCTATCTAGATATGTATCTTCCGACTTCTGTTTTGACTCTGTTTGTTGAGTATTCATGAGCGGTTCGATTTTGCAGCATAAAATGTCTACTTGATGAACCAGTGTACGGAACACAAGTCTAGCCTTACCTGCAACACTTGGCGTCAGCTGTGAACTTGACTCTGTCTTCGAATTCTGTCTCTGTCTCGTTTATCTTCAGAGTCAGCTGCAGAGAAAGGAGAGACCACGCAGTTCATTGTTGTAGTCAAGATACACGGGCTGATTGAACACTTTCTGTGCAAGGCAGGAGCGCGCCATAACCAAATCGCACGGGGCTAAGTGCACTTAAAATGTCTAGTTGCGGGCTGGACGCTCAAGAGACTCAAGAGCCCAATAATAATAATAATAATAATAATAATAATAATATAATAATAGTAATTGTATTATTATTATGCGATAAATGCAAACAAATATATTATCTTCTATATAAACAAAAATGTAAATATTTGTTTGTTAGTGTAAGCTAATCTCCGAAAGCTCTTTACCGAGTGCTTTCAAATTTTGACACAGTGTTGTATAAGATTACGCGCGTGTTTCTACATAAAAGTATCGCACAAAGCACGAACAACAAAGATCCATTGACGATCATATCGGCATCTTGGTTTTGTATTCCGAAGTCCAATTTCTTTTTCATTGCCGTGTTCCTGAACTTTGACTGTTGACCTAAAAAATATGCACAAAGCTGTATGATATAATAAATTATTTCGTTATGGGGACGATGAGTTGTTGAAAGACTGTTTAGAAATGTAAAGATGTGGGAATAAAAACAGGGTTGTTGGAAGACTGTATGGGAATGACAGATTACTGATCAGTGAGGACTATCATCCCAGTATTCCGGGCAGATCCACAGGTTCAAAGATCTTTTCCCCGATAGCTCCACAAGCACAAAAGCCACTAGTGAAGACCGTTCAATGGTGAATGATCAGACGACTCTTGCCCTTAGTGCTGCCGTCTGCACTCCTATATCCACCATCCTCGACACGATCTTCTTTGGGATATGCGTGTCACTGGACATCAACGACATCACTACTGTCCATGGCGGGGAAGTCACAGTAACCGCCTCACCCACAAAATAAATCTGCTTATTGTAGAAGCAGTGGTAGTAGTAACAGAATAGTAGTAGTTGTTGTTGTGGTTGGCCGGTTAGTTAATACGTCGGGCTATCATGCAAGACACCCGGGTTCGACCCTTAGTAAGGTGATGGGGTTTTTTCTGTCGGGGGCACAATTAAACATCCTAACATGAACACTCTGTGGTGACAGCATTAGACATACGGCTTCTCTGGCACACGACCCCCTGTCTACACCCGACCTAGACAAGCGGTAAAACAGGCGGTAGTGACAATTTTTTTGTTTGTTGGTGGTGTTAGTAGTTGTACTGGTACTCAATGGCTGATGTGATAAATATTACACTAGCCGCATTTACTTTTAATTACAGCTCCTGCTACCCGTTTTAGTCTGGGTGGATACGGATGCCAAAGACAATTTTTAAAAATGTATGGGAATTTTCAAACCCTTCGGAGGGGGAGAGAGGAGTAGATGATGGATTGGGAGCGGGGGGGGGGGGGGGGCTGGTGACCTAAACTTTTAACTGAGAGAGCTTCAGACATAACATGATTTTACAGTTTTTTATTATTCATATTTTAACTCAGATTTTCTCAAATTTTTTAGACGTACAGTAGTAAACTTTACCGTGTGCTCTTTAAAAAATGCCAAAAGCCTTAGTGTGTAACAAACAAATAAGCATTTTTTCTAAGTCCCAATAATACACTTTCTTTAAACGACAACTTATATAAGAACACAATTATATTTTGCATGTTCTAGAGTCGACAAACCAGACTATCTGCGCAAATAATCACTGTACAATTGACCATATTAGTCAGCTGCGCTTTTTATTTTCTGTCTTGTCCATTTAGCCAGACTGGGCCACAGCAACGCGTGGCTGGGTAGTGCTAGTTGTAAATAAAATGAACTTCATCAACACATACTTTAAAAGAGACAGCTAGTGGAGGGGAGTCCTCACTTATTTACCTGCAAATTTTCTAGGTGATGGAGGGTGGGGCTCAGATAAACAAAATTGTAATGGAGAAAAAAAAAGGGGGGGGGGGGGGGGGGGTTAGCTCAGCCCTCTAAAAATATTTAGGGTTATGGTGTGTGAGTGTGGCTAGGTGTTCGAAAAGGCAATATTAATAAAATAATTATCAACAATATTATTATTATTTTATTATGTTGTTTTTGCTATAATTGTCTACTAATGGCAAAAAATATACTAGTATATTTTCAAATAATATTAGGTGTTTTGAACAAATAATTAAAAGACAACGTCTGTAGATAGAACGTTTGGAGGAGCACAAAGACTATCAGCAAAGAGTAAAACTTACGATGACGGCAGAACTGAGATTAACGTAAAACTGGGGAGCTGTGTCGTTTTCGTCCTTAGTTTCGTAGAAGCGACCAAACAGCTCCACACGGACGACAGCCATATCACCCTCACACAGGTCATGATCTAAGACATCTGTGGATTCAAAAGTGCAACTGTAACATACTATGACATCATACAGCCATGTGCATGGGGAATGTAAGTGGAGACTACCATATGATAGGAAAAAACAAGAAGAAACTACTACATGATGGGGGAAAACAAGAGGAGACTACAACATGACGAGAAAAAAAGGGAAGACTACCACATGATAGGAAAAAACAAGGGGAGACTAGCACATAATGGGGAAAAACAAGGGGAGACTTCCACATGATGAGAAAAAAGGGGAGACTACCACATGATGGGAAAGCAAGGGGAGACTACCACACTATTTACTAGAAATTCAAAACAGAAGCAGACAACAAGACAGAAGCCGACCTCCCTGAAGGTGGATACAGGACGTATAAGATGCATTGCTTATGAAAAGCACACAGGGCTTGAGAATTAGCTAGAGAAAGAAAAACTTACAGGTGTACCGTGATGAGAGCGACGTTCTGCTATTTCTTGGGTTTTTTTTTTAAACAACTCCCGATTCGATTCGATTTGTGGAAAACAAAAATCTCAAATTTGCTCCTGGTTCAACTGTCGAAACGCCGTGTTATACCGAGGAGGGTTTTCTTTACTGTCTTATTTGTATTCCATTTCTTTGTGGTGTGCAGCTACACCTGATTTCCTGTTTCTTGGTCTTCCATATCTTGTGTGGTTTTGTGGGTCCTGGTGAGGTCTGGTCTTCTTTTCCTGTCCCAGAGAGTTTTGCTGTTTTGGTTGCTGGTGCCTGACTTGTCCATGTGTCTGTTGCTGTGCTAGAGCCACTAGTGACATCGCTGGATGCCAGACCTTGGTTCTCAGGTCCACCGAGGCTTTAACGGGCACCAGGAACAGTCCTCGGAAGTAAATGCGACCGGCTTGATGTTGACTGCATCACCTACCGAGTGCCGATTGATCTATAAAAGTCTAGCCCTGTGTGCTCCATACACCCGAAGGTGTGGGAAAGGGTTCTTTACTTGACGTAGCGTATGGGGCTGAACACTCCCGCTTGCAGGGCTTGAGTTCGAACCCATAGGCAGTCTCTGTCTAAAATATGTGCCAGGTTAATTCATGGGAAGTAAAGGCGGTTGACGTGATATTAAGCTCATCACTCATCGATTAGTCTATAAAAATACAAGTCTAGCAACATAAGCCGAACAAGTTTCTGTAGCAGATTATTGTCTCTACAGGGTAGAGAACCCTCCTTCTTTCTCACTAGGCTTTGGGACCGGCAATTGTGATGCCATACAAAAGCCCAAAGAAAATGGTGAAAATAAAATTAGACGAATTCAAAAGAGGCGAAGAAGAAAGAGAAATATCTGGGCAACCACTTTATATATGAAGAACTCCACATCGGAAGCATGCACAGCAGGAGCCTATCAATCCTCAGTAGGTTGTCCCCCGTTAGGAATTGTTTCGGTTCGTTTTCAGTGTTGCCACTTTGGATGTTTTACATCCAGATTTAGGTGTTTTCCCTTGCATTTAGATGGCGTTTTGACGTTTAGATTGTAAATGTTTTTCTAGAAGTTTTTCATTCGGAGTAGATTTATCAAATCTAATCTTAGAAAGAGGATGAAATTTGACCTCTTAAATGCTATCTTTACCACACACAAAAAAAAGTATAAGAGTTGGAAAAGGCTGTTCCACTTATCAGCTCCCTGATTGGGTATTAAAAGAAATTGGAACAGCTAAAGCATACAAGAGTCATTTTGGATCTGAAGCTTTAACTTCGTCATCCAAGGTAAATTTATCCTGTGGATCTTGTAAGGCAGACTTTAGTAAAGACGAGGACCTGATTCTATAGGGTAAGTCATATCAATTGCTATGTAATTTGTGACTCTTTCCATTCGGATGTTTTTTCTAGATATTTTCCATGCAAATGTAGATGTTTTTATATATTTTTTGACTCCGTTTTGGATGTTTTCTTTCCAAACAAAGTGGCAACACTGCTCGTTTTTCCCCTAGACAGTTGCTTTCAACCTTCTTATTGCCGTCACCCTTTAATACAGTTCCCTCATGTTGTGGCGACCTTCAACTATTTTCCTTTACAACTTTAATGAACATGTGTTTGCTGGTGATCTTAGGCGACCCATGTAAAAGGGTCGTTCGACCCAAACAAGGGTCGCGACCGGCGGGTTGAGAACCTCTACACTAGACCATCTCGAAAGGTTAGGGAACATCCCAGGCCTCGGACATCTCCTGCTGCGCTGAAGACAGAGAAGATGGCGCGCTGTTGGACACATCATGAGAAGAAGCCAAACAGGCACTGAAACAGGAATTAAAAAGATTGGGGAGGCAAGAACGTTAAAAAAAGCTAAAGCGAACGCTGATGAGAGAAGCCAAAGCTGCTGGGCTTGATTCCATCCATGATTTTGAATTGCTTGCTCAAGATAGAACATAATGGGGGAATAGACTGTAGCTATTTGTAACATATGCAGCACAACAACATAACGAATGAATGAATCATATGCTCTATAAGCTAATAGCTTGCAGAGGGTTGTGTATTTTTTAAACTTTATATATATATCTGTGTTAGTGAATGTGTTCTGTTTAGAGTGTCTGTGTGTGTTCTTGTCTCTGCTGTCTGTATGTCTTATATGTGTGTATATATATATATATATATATATAATATATATATATATATACACACATATAAGACATACAGACAGCAGAGACAAGAACACACACAGACACTCTAAACAGAACACATTCACTAACAGAACCCACACAATAGTGAGCCTGGGTACATACATGCTTTGTTGGCCTCGACGACTGTTGTTCTAAATACTTTCTCTTCTTCGTTCGTTACCATCAGTTGTATCTGAGAAATACAAGCGAGAAATAATCCATATTATCCATTCAGACATATTTGGACAAATTCATAGATGAACGGCATAATTCTCAACAAATTCGCTGCTCTAGAAACACATTCTGCCTAAGGAACTAACTATTTAAATGACAAACCTGCCTTTTAAAAACAATTAACTTTACCCATATAGCCATCAACTATCTAGCAAGGAGGGACCAGGCCACCATCTTCAGACTCAGAACACACCTATTCCACTCAATGGACATCTAAACAGAATCCTGCCACAACAGTCTCCAGAGTGCCAGCTACGTAACTACCCCTACGAAACTGTTGACCATCATCTCTGTGAGCGTCCAAAACCCATCGAGACTAAAAGAATGCTACTCCCTCCGAGACCAGACAAGTGGAACACCTTGTACGGAGGAAAAGAACAGCTTGTGAAAACATGTACACCCCACTACATGGCATTGGGCCAAAAGGGCAAGCGCATGTGCCGCTGGATCGATAACAACAACCACCCAGACAGCCAAGCAATGACACAGCTGACATCTTCACACCCAAAAGTAGAGCTGCCTTCCTGTCCTAAATGTCTATCGAGGAGCTCCGAGGACTTCCTTACATCCATCCATGTATAAAAAGCAAAACCTAAAATTGATCAGGTTCAATCTACTGCCAGCAGTATCGGTTATAATTGGGGTTATGTTTCTTTGTGCCAATTATGTTGGCCAAATAAGATAAAATATAAATTCATCCTGACCAAAGAGAAGTAGATTTGTTAGACATGCAGACAATGTTGAATAAGATGTTGGAATAAAATTATAAAGACCAACAACGACGATGGATTTGGCTCAGCGAAGGTAGCTGTAAGGGATGCAGAAAAGTAGAATCCATCATTCTGATCAATCTTCTTCTTCTTCACTTCCTCTTTTAACCGCTGTGGGTGTCGAGGGAGATATAAGGTTCTGTTTCTAGCTCTTCTGGCTGCCTCGACCATAGGCACATCGCGCTGTTGCAGAGTTCTCTCTGATGCCATCCCTCCATCCTGCTCTTGGTCCACCTCGTCCACCATTCTGATCAATGGTGCCTTAAAATAGTTCAGTCTCCCTACAGGAAACACTCGTCACGCACTGAGAGAACTGTACTAAAGGAAGCAGCGTCTACATCACTCAGTGAATGCAGCTTTGATTCAGAATTAGTTATACTGACTGATGTTTGCTCAGTGTTGCAAGCAATAGAAAACGATAAGTAACTACATTTCTACAAGCTTATGTCTCTTCTGAATCAGGTGGGTCAACTAACTAAGCAGATTGTTCTCAAATGGATTCCAAGCCACTGCAACATCATGAGACAGGAAAGAGCAGACTGCATGGCCAAAATTGAGTGCAGCCATTTAAAGGATTCAATTACACTGTATGATGAAAATAAAACCCAGATCATAGCAGCCATTAAAAAACCTCTGAAATAATTCTCACCCAAAACACAATCCTGAGAACCCAATCAACCCTCACACACAAGAGGCAGACAACTCTGTTTAGACTGCGAATTGGACACGTTATATCCTGATACAATATGCACAAGCAGTTCAAGAATGTTGACAGAAAACTGTGTCCATGCCAACAGGCCCCGCGGAATACTGAACATGTTCTACAGATACGCTTTTTTCATGCCACAGAGAACCCAGTTCTAACTATTCAGCGTTCCGGCGGAATCCAGGATGTATTCATCAGTGAAGGATCTAAACACACAACGTTCATTGAGGCCTGTGGCCTTCTCATCTGAAAACCACAGGCAATGAAACGAAAAGAAGAAGGATAATATAATTATTACGTAGAATAACGGAAGGAAACATGATTTTTTTTAGTGTGTTTGTGGGGAAAGGGGGGGGGGGGGGGGGGGGGTTAAATGAAATCGTCAAACATAATTTTTTTTTACTGCTAATTACAGCCTTTATTATACGATTTTTGCGGTGTAGGCAGGAGGATCTTTGAGGCTGATTATTTACGGCCAGATGGCTAGTGTTGTCGCCACGGCTGTGCAGGTGAGGATTTTTTTTTTTTTGGCCCCTGACAGAAAAAGACCCAAGCCTTACCGAGGATTCGAACTCGGGTCTGCCGCTTGATAGCCGAGTGTTCTAACCATTCCACACATTATACAATGTATTAAATTGTTTTCGACACAGTTATATAGCATGACAAATGATGACAGCAAGCTGGCATCAGAAACACATGCTATCAATAACGATAACGTTAACGATACATCAAAAACATACAACACAGATAATGATGATATCATCTATACATCATTTATATAAAGCAATTACGATGATGATGTCATCTATACATCACATACATAAAGCGATAAGGATGACGCCATCCATACATCACATACATAAAGCAATAATGATGATGCCATCTATACATCACATACATAAAGCAGCAATGATATTGTCATGTATATATCACATACATAAAGCAATAATGATGTTGTCATATATACATCACATACATAAAGCAATAATGATGATGCCATCTATACATCACAAACATAAAGCAATAATGATGATGCGATCTATACATCACATACATAAAGCAATAGTGAATGTCATCTATACATCACATACATAAAGCAATAATGATGATGCCATCTATACATCACATACATAAAGCAATAAAATGATGCCATCTATACATCACATACATAAAGCAATAATGATGATGCGATCTATACATCACATACATAAAGCAATAGTGAATGTCATCTATACATCACATACATAAAGCAATAATGATGATGCCATCTATACATCACATACATAAAGCAATAATGATGATGCGATCTATACATCATATACATAAAGCAATAATGATGTTGTCATCTATACATCACATACATAAAGCAATAATGATGACGCCATCTATACATCACATACATAAAGCAATAAAATGATGCCATCTATACATCACATACATAAAGCAATAGTGAATGTCATCTATACATCACATACATAAAGCAATAAAATGATGCCATCTATACATCACATACATAAAGCAATAGTGAATGTCATCTATACATCACATACATAAAGCAATAAAATGATGCCATCTATACATCACATACATAAAGCAATAGTGAATGTCATCTATACATCACCATACATAAACTACCAATGATGATGCCATCTATACATCACATACATAAAGCAATAGTGATGATGTCATCTATACATCACACACATAAAGCAATAATGGTGACATCAACATTATACAAATATTTTACACAATAATGTTTTCACCAGCTGTACATGACGGCAAAAATAATAATAATAAAACAACTTACACAACAAATAATTGTGATAATGAACAGAGAAACGATCTTCACGAGTCTCAACACCGCAGCCCGCCATCTGGCATCTCTTGGCGCCCAGCGGATACTTCTGATCAGCTCTTTGAATTTGACGATGGGTGGTTGTGTCGGCCTCAAGTGCTCATCCGAAATCGAAATGTTTTCAGTAATTCTGAATAGAGAGAAGTACTCAATTCAATATTTTGTTAAAGGACAGAATGAATTTTCGTTGCATTTAATGTACACATTTAATGGGGGCCCGTGTTAGCGCAGTCGATAAGAGACTCGCTTTCAAATCCAGCTGCGACTCGCTGCAGCCCACGGTCGATGTTCGAAACCGGGGGGCTCCCGGGGTTCACCCGGCCTCTAGGAAATTGGTACCAGAGGAGACTCTGGAGTAAATTGAGGAACGTCGCTGTAGCTACAGAGTTACGTGCGAACGGCGACACAGGCGGACAATTCTTATCAGCTATCCGTACTGGTGGCAGAGCACTTATGGTTTATAACCGTGTGCAATGACGCTGGTTCACATCTCCCGACTTTACCTTTACCTTTTAATGTACACTAGTGTTTTATCTTAGATTTCCATAGCAGAAGGAAAGTAAAGGACGCCTTTTGGCTACTTCAGGTGTGTAATGCTTAAAGTTGAAGACCTGTATTGTATAGACCAATCGGTTCTCGGTGGGTTTATGTGGTCAACATTACTTTGCCGCCTTTACTTCCCATGACTATGCCTGGTACCCATTTAAGGCTGGGTCGACCTTGGAGGTTTCCCAGCAGTAAACTAAGTAAAGGACCCTTTTCCCCGCCATTTTACGTACTGGGCATATAAGGCTAACTCTATCTTGTATAGACCAATCGGCACTCGAAGTCTGTGGTCAACATCACGCCAGCCGCCTTTACCTCCCAGGACAATACCTAGTACCCATTTGGAGCCGAGTCGACCTGGGAGGCTTCCGTAGTAGTGGATCATACATTCACTGCGAGGATGCCGGTTGTTCCTCACTTCCTGAATATGTAGCCTGTGGCAAGGGTCTTCATCTTAGAAGGTCTGTCGCCATCCAAGTCGCTGTTGACACTCGGGGCCATCCGGCTTCTTCTCTTTTCAATTTGTCTCCCCCCCCCCCCCCCCCCTTTTTTTTTTCTTTCTTTATATTGCCAACATCCCTTGCCTTGACGACTGACATAGACGATCATGATTCTCCGAAACTTGGTGACGACAAGAGAAGGCAGAATTTATTTGTCGTGACATAAGACTATCAGGCTGTCCTCCGACTAACGGTCGGCAAAGATGACGGCCGCAAAATATCCAGCCGAGCCGCAGTCACGTGTCAATTGCGCGCTTCCGGCTACTTAATTTGCGGACTTCCAGCGACTATGGCTATAGCCACGTGGCTCCCACGCCACTCGCGCGGCGTGGATTGGGGTTAAACTAGATGGCTATGACTCAGGAGCAAGGCTGCAGGAGATGCGGAAGCTGCTGCTTCTGAGTCCTAGCTATCTAGTTTAGCCCCAATTCACACCGAGTGAGCAGCTTAGGGGCCACGTGGCGGTAGCGGTTGTTGGCGGAAAACCGCCGGAAGACCGCAAATTAAGTACCCGAAAGCGCGCAATTGACACGTGACTGCGGCTCGGCTGGATATTTTGCGGCCGCCATCTTTGCCGACCGTTAGTCGGAGGATAGCCGACTATCAGAAATAATTTCGCTGAAATAATCTTCCTGGTCTTCCATATCCCTCTCCCACTCCACTTCCACCCCCACTCTCACCCCCATCCATAAATGTTTTCATTTGTACAACTACTAGGAGGAGGAAGAAGAAAAGGAGTAGGTGAAAAAGGAGGTCAGGTGTTAGAATACACTAAAGTCCACAGACCAGGTCAAATAGGCTGGACACAACCAGGTTAACGTACTCTTTGGCGGCAATCAGAGGAGTCTTTTCGGAGCTGGGCGTTTCAACATCACGTGGTCTGCCGTTTGGGGTTGATAAGTTTGACTCAATTTCATCCAGCATTACCCTGTCGACCACAGATAAAGGTGTGTTGATGATGGTGATGATGATGATCATGATGATGGTTGTGATGATTATCGTCGCTGTTATAATAAGATGATGATTATAAAAATGATGAGATTAGAATCAGAAAGTAGATAAAAAGAGACAAGCAGACATTGATACAGATGGTGGGGTACTTTCCTTCCGGGTTTTCCCGAACCATTTATTTATTTATTTCCAAAAAGGTATTTGTGTTTTTTTTTCTCACGTCCAAACTTTACATTCATTCAAGTACACAAATCTACTTTTATTCTAATACAGTCGTGTAATCTTGATCTGGTACATCTTCATAATTCTTTACGCTCGTCGTGTCTTTCAACGATCGTAAGTGGGGCTTATGTCTGGGTTAAGGTTTATATTATGATCATCATAATTAAATGTATGCTAGGTCGGATGTTCAGGTTAGATCTTAAATTCAGGGAACATGTCATTATTGTGTTCTCTTCTTCGCGTTCATCGCCTGTAAACTCCAGCAGAAAGTTCTGGTTGTTCGTTCACTTCTGGACTTCAGAACATAGATAAATTACCAGAAACAGCAGACAGCGAGGCACTGGTTTTTTTTAAATCTATTATGAGAAGAAAGGCAGCCGCCGTTGTGTAGCGACTAGAAGTTCGCCTGTTTATCCGAAGGTCGTTGTTTAGAATTCGAACAAACCAGACTATTTTTTTTTTTATGACCCTGGCAGCTAAAATTCTAGGAAGTAAAGGCGACCGGCGTGATGTTGAGCAAATCTCCCACTGAGTGCCGATTGGTCTATACAATATAGATGTAGCACAACTTGTAATGCTAAAAAATGAAACTTGCTGTGAAAACTTAAAACAGTTACACGACTCGAAGGACGATTGTTAGCATCGTTTTGTCCCTGTATGGACATGCGTCAACACTAGAATTAATGCATGTAGTTAGATAACACTATAGTTTGGAAAGACGGCAAGGTGCCGACCAGTTAGAGACGTAGAGGAATTATGAAACCCGCCCCAGTAGAAGAGGCACTTGATGATTATGATAAATCCACTTATAATCAGCTTTCAGATGACAAAGACAAAATTTATGAAAAAGTAGAAGATTTAATGTGAGAATAAATTAAGATTTTTTCTTTTTTAATTAAGAAAAAGGGATGGTGTTTGGACATGAATTCTAGGCGGCGCCCATACGAGTGTGCTGTGATAGAGAAGGCTCTAGGTGTTCGTGTTCTGTGGGGGTTGATGTGCAAAGCTCCACCACCGGGGTCGTAGATGGACGGTGTGGGTTGACGCCGGATCTCCCCGCCAATTTGAGAACCGCTGGTTGTCATGGCGATTTCACTGAGCTCTCTCGTCTTGATTGGTTCGGCTGCCGGTTACCGACACATTCCGCTGAAATGAAAAACGGTGATGGAGAACAATAATGGGGTTGTTGTGTGTATGTGTGTGTGTGTGTGTGTGTGTGTGTGTGTGTGTGTGTGTGCGTGTGTGTTTTTTTTCCACAGAATTGACAAGATAAATTTAAACTTATAGTAATAATAATGAGTGCTCCAAAACGGGGGGCGAGATTCTGACCAGATCCCCAATTTACTCGTCTGGAAAAATATGAGTTTAATCTCATCTGTCTCATGGGTAGGGTGACTACAATATCTTAGGCTAAAAACGGGACATCTGATTAATATATTAAGCTGGAAACGCGACATCCCACTAATATATTGAGCTGAAAACGGGACATCCCACTAATATATTGAGCTGAAAACGGGACATCCCACTAATATATTGAGCTGAAAACGGGACATCCCACTAATATACTGAGCTAAAAGCGGGACATCCCACTAATATGTTGAGCTGAAAACGGGACATCACAGTTTAACGCCATCTCCCATTTTCTCAAGCTCACTTGGATGAAAGAGATGAGTTACTTCCTCCTAGATGGCAATAAAGCATAAACCATTGTCGCCCTGAAAGAAACAAAACTATGTGCCCTTTAACTGCACTGAAAGAAATAAAACTTTTAGATCGAATCATTTCAACAGATTTATAACTAAGTGCATGTAGGATTATTTCCTATGTTGTTGTTGTTATCGATCTAGCAGCGCATGAGCTTTCGCCCTTTGGCCAATACCATGTAGTGGAATTTGCAAGTTTTGACCGGCTGTTCTTTTCCTCCGTACAAGGTGTTCCACTTGTCTGGTCTCGGAGGGAGTAGCATTCTTCTAGTCTCGTTGAGTTTTAGGCACTCAAAGAGATTGTGTTCAACAGTTTCGTAGGTGTAGTTCCATAGCTGGCACTCGGGTTGGGGGGGGGGTGGGGGGGGGGGTGTTGTGGCTGTATTCTGTTTAGGTGTCCATTGAGTGGAATATGTTGTGTTCTGAGTCTGTAGATGGTGGCCTGGTCCCTTCTTGTTAAATGGTTAATGCTGTCATTAGGATAACGGCTAGCCATGTGTCTATAAACCTCTATCCCAGTGTCTCTCCTGGCCCATCTATTCAACCAAGTCTCTTTGTTTATAGCTTTTATAAGTGTTTTTTGCTGTCTGTAGGGTTGTCGCTGTAGGTGGTTCTTCTTGTATTGCTCTTTTCTTTGTGATTCTTTCCTTAAAAAAAAAAAATAGACAATAACTACGATTGGGTCATACCTACAAAACGGGAATGTCTGGGGGGAAAACGGGACGTATGGTCGGCCTCTGGTGTAGCGGCTACACGCTTGGCTGCGGATCGGAAAGTCGTCGGTTCGAGACATGACTGTACCATACCATGTATAGATCTAGCCCTATATGCCTGATACGGCTGTAGGCTTTGAAAAGGGTCATTTGCTTTGCTTTGACTTCAAAGAAACCAACCCTTGTATTCAAGCTGAAATAAACGGAGAGTCGGCTCTATCTGCCTTCGACGTCTTTTAGCATACCTATAATCTCGTAAATCTATAGCATTCCTATCATCTCGTTAATCTCTAGTATACCTATCGTCTCCTTAATCTCTAGCTTACCTATAATCTCCTTAATATCTAGACTACCTATCTTCTCCTTAATCTCTAGCATACCTATCATCTCCTTAATCTCTAGCATACCTATCATCTCCTTAATCTCTAGCATATCTATAATCTCCTTAATCTCTCGACTACCTATCATCTAATTAATCTCTAGCATACCTATCATCTCCTTAATCTCTAGCATACCTATAATCTCGTAAATCTATAGCATTCCTATCATCTCGTTAATCTCTAGCATACTTATCATCTCCTTAATCTCTAGCTGACCTATCATCTCCTTAATCTCTAGACTACCTATCATCTCCTCAATCTCTAGCATACCTATCATATCCTTAATCTCTAGCATACCTATCATCTCCTTAATCTCTAGCATACCTATCATCTCCCTAATCTCTAGACTACCTATCATCTCCTTAATCTCTAGCTTACCTATCATCTCCTTAATCTCTAGACTACCTATCATCTCCTTAATCTCTAGCATACCTATCATTTCCATAATCTCTAGCATGCATATCATCTCCTTAATCTCTATCATACCTATCATCTCCTTAATCTCTATCATACCTATCATCTCCTTAACCTCTATCATACCTATCATCTCCCTAATCTCTAGCATGCCTATCAGCTCCTTAATCTCTAGCATACCTATCATCTCCTCAATCTCTAGCATAACTATCATCTCGTTAATCTCTATCATACCTATCATCTCCCTAATCTCTAGCATACCTATAATCTCTTTAATCTCTAGCATACCTATCAACTCCCTAATCTCTAGCATACCTATCATCTCCTTGGATCTAGCTTACCTATCATCTCCCTAATCTCTAGACTACCTATCATCTCCTTAATCTCTAGCATACCTATCATCTCCGTAATCTCTAGCATGCCTATCAACTCCCTAATCTCTAGCATGCCTATCATCTCCTTAATCTCTAGCATACCTATCATTTCCATAATCTCTAGCATACCTGTCATTTCCATAATCTCTAGCATAAATATCATCTCCTTAATCTCTAGCATACCTATCATATCCTTAATCTCTAGGATACCTATAATCTCCCTAATCTCTAGCATACCTATCATCTCGTTAATCTCTAGCATACCTATCATCTCGTCAATCTCTATCATACCTATCTTCTCGTTAATCTCTATCATACCTATCATCTCCCTAATCTCTATCATACCTATCTTCTCGTTAATCTCTATCATACCTATCTTCTCGTTAATCTCTATCATACATATCTTCTCGTTAATCCCTATCATACCTATCTTCTCGTTAATCTCTAGCATACCTATCTTTTCGTTAATCTCTATCATACCTATCTTCTCGTTAATCTCTAGCATACCTATAATCTCCTTAATCTCTAGCATACCTATCATCTCGTTAATCTCTAGCATACCTATCTTCTCGTTAATCTCTAGCATACCTATCATCTCCTTAATCTCTAGCATACCTATCATCTCGTTAATCTCTATCATACCTATCTTCTCGTTAATCTCTAGCATACCTATCATCTCCTTAATCTCTATCATACCTATCTTCTCGTTAATCTCTATCATACCTATCTTCTCGTTAATTTCTATCATACCTATCATCTCGTTAATCTCTATCATACCTATCTTCTCGTTAATCTCTAGCATACCTATCTTCTCGTTAATCTCTAGCATACCTATCTTCTCGTTGATCTCTATCATACCTATCTTCTCGTTAATCTCTATCATACCTATCTTCTCGTTAATCTCTATCATACCTATCTTCTCGTTAATCTCTAGCATACCTATCATCTCCCTAATCTCTATCATACCTATCTTCTCGTTAATCTCTATCATACCTATCATCTCGTTAATCTCTAGCATACCTATCTTCTTGTCAATCTCTAGCATACCTATCTTCTCGTTAATCTCTAGCATACCTATCATCTCGTTAATCTCTATCATACCTATCTTCTCGTTAATCTCTAGCATACCTATCATCTCGTTAATCTCTATCATACCTATCTTCTCGTTAATCTCTAGCATACCTATCTTCTCGTTAATCTCTAGCATACCTATCATCTCGTTAATCTCTAGCATACCTATCTTCTCGTTAATCTCTAGCATACCTATCTTCTCGTTAATCTCTAGCATACCTATCATCTCGTTAATCTCTATCATACCTATCTTCTCGTTAATCTCTAGCATACCTTTCATGTTTTCATATTTTGTGCATTACAATACGTTGATGGCGTGCCGCCGTGCTGTAGTGACTAGATGCTCGCCTGCGGATTCGAAGGTCCTGGATCCAAATCGAAGCGGTGCTGCACTTTCTCTTGATTATTTGTTTATTGACCTCTCTTTCCATGTCGTCTTACTCGTTAATGGAAGTAGTCGGTCCCAATAAGTTTGCCATGCACACGTAAAATTGCTACATAAGGCATTTCGCCAGCCCATACGTAAACCGGCTACAAGCTATATTGAATACCACTACTCAACCGCTGTCCTGGGAAGTAAAGACGACCGCCGAGATGCTGATCACATCGTCCACCAAGTATCGATTAATAAATAAACTATAGGTAGATTAAAGTAAAATTCCCACCCAAGAAAAACTATCTTTCGAACCGATACTCAAGGATAAATAAAGTATGTTTGTGTGTGCTCGCACGTTATTTTTTCTTCTTCTACAGATATGCATCTGTTTTGCATACATACTATGTGCCTTGTTACCTAAACACACATCTTACTCTAGATTATCATCTAGCTGCTGTATTCAAGTGGCTGATAATACTACCTGGAAAGATAATTATTGTATTGTGGGATAAAACAGGTACATGTTGACGTATGATCCTTTGTATGTATGTATGTATGTATGTATGTATGAATGTATGTATGTATGTATGTATGTATGTATGTATGTATGTATGTATGTATGTATGTATGTATGTATGTATGTATGTATGTATGTATGTATGTATGTATGTATGTATGTATGTATGTATGTATGTATGTATGTATGTATGTATGTATGTATGTATGTATGTATGTACGTACGTACGTACGTACGTACGTACGTACGCATGTATGTATGTATGTATGTATGTATGTATGTATGTATGTATGTATGTATGTATGTATGTATGTATGTATGTATGTATGTATGTATGTATGTATGTATGTATGTATGTATGTAATGTATGTATGTATGTATGTATGTATGTATGTATGTATGTATGTATGTATGTATGTATGTATGTATGTATGTATGTATGTATGTATGTATGTATGTATGTATGTATGTATGTATGTATGTATGTATGTATGTATGTATGTATGTATGTATGTATGTATGTATGTATGTACGTACGTATGTACGTGTACGTACGCATGTATGTATGTATGTATGTATGTATGTATGCAGGCAGGTAGGTAGTATGTATGTATGTATGTAGGTAGGTATGTATGTATGTATGTAGGTAGGTAGGTATGTATGTATGTATGTATGTATGTATGTATGTATGTATGTATGTATGTATGTATGTATGTATGTATGTATGTATGTATGTATGTATGTATGTATGTATGTATGTATGTATGTATGTATGTATGTATGTATGTATGTATGTATGTATGTATGTATGTATGTATGTATGTATGGATGCATGCATGCAGGCAGGTAGGTAGGTAGGTAGGTATGTAGGTGTAGGTAGGTAGGTATGTAGGTAGGTAGGTATGTATGTATGTATGTATGTATGTATGTATGTATGTATGTATGTATGTATGTATGTGTATGTATGTATGTATGTATGTATGTATGTATGTATGTATGTATGTATGCATGCATGCATGTATGTATGTATGCATGCATATGTATGTATGTATGTATGTATGTATGTATGTATGTATGTATGTATGTATGTATGTATGTATGTATGTATGTATGTATGTATGTATGTATGTATGTATGTATGTATGTATGTATGTATGTATGTATGTATGTATGTATGTATGTATGTATGTATGTATGTATGTATGTATGTATGTATGTATGTATGTATGTATGTATGTATGTATGTATGTATGTATGTATGTATGTATGTATGTATGTATGTATGTATGTAGTATGTATGTATGTATGTATGTATGTATGTATGTATGTATGTATGTATGTATGTATGTATGTATGTATGTATGTATGTATGTATGTATGTATGTATGTATGTATGTATGTATGTATGTATGTATGTATGTATGTATGTATGTATGTATGTATGTATGTATGTATGTATGTATGTATGTATGTATGTATGTATGTATGTATGTATGTATGTATGTATGTATGTATGTATGTATTATGTATGTGTGTGTATATATGTAGATGTGTACGTGTACAAGTAAGGATGCATGTATATATGTGTATGTACAAAGATGGGTGCAAGTCAGACATGAAGTATATAGGTATTGCGGTAAATTTATTTAAACCGACTTCGGAGAAAAAAATTCTCTAATTTTTTGCCCTTTACGACACGCTTGTATGGATTCATTTGCTCTATTCTTTTTTTTTTTTTGTTCGCCAAAAAAGGTGCATAAACCCGCACAGGGCATAGAAGATTTGGACAGAAACCTTTTACACAGGAATACAAATGTAGACAATAACTTATCAAACATAAATAAAACATGACTACGCTGTATCGATACTGACAAGGAAATCGCTGGGTCGAAATGTTTATTGGAATTTGTGAATGTCTGATCACATTCTTTAGTTACGATTATCACATTCTTTGGTTACGATTTCAAGCCAAAAACTACACAAATTAAATTATATAATTCTCTTGAAGGCTCTATTAAAATAAAATTAAAATGTTACTATGTGACGTTTTCAGTGGGTTACTGAAGAAATATATCTGCATAGTCCTAACGGTAATAAAAACAGGCATTAAAGACAGTTTCATTTTGTTTAAACTGAAGATCAAACCAGTTGACCTCAATTGCGAAACCAAATATGTTTATCAAAGCTTGTAAGATAATCAGAAAGCCAGTGTGATATCTCGGCACGATCGGCAACGACTTTGACCAGTTGCGGTGTCAGTGACGTTATCTCTGAAGGTAACTGACAGTACGTGAGAGCCTAAAAATACTTTGGGTTTTGGCTCGTTACGGCTTTCACGCCATCATTGGTAATGTTCACCTTTGTCTTTTCTCAAAGGAACGCTGCAACCTAGGGGCTTAAGCATCCCCCCCCCCCTCTTTTTTCCCCACTCCCCACTCTTATGAACATTTAAAGACGCGCAACAGAAGTTCCATCAAATACATGATTAGATTTTATAATAACAATTTATAAATTACTCCAGACATTCTCGTTAACCCTGCATTTGATTTTATAATAACTAGTTAAAAATTTATGGAGACATTCTCTTCAACCCTGTATTTGATTTAATAATAATTAAAAATTAATGGAGACATTCTTGTCAACCCTGCATTTGATTTTTTAATAACAAGTTAAAAATTCATGGAGACCTTCTCGTCAACCCTGCATTTGATTTTATATTAACAAGTTAAAAACTCCTACAGACATTCTCGTTAACCCTGCATTTGCTTTTATAATAACAGTTTAAAATTCGTTAAGATATTCTCGTTAACCCTGCATTTGCTTTTATAATAACAGCTAAAAATTCATGGAGACATTCTCCTTAACCTTGCATTTGCTTTTATAATAACAGTTGAAAATTCATGAAGACATTCTTGTCAACCCTGCATTTGATTTTATAATAACAGTTAAAAATTTATGGAGACATTCTCGTCAACCCTGCATTTGATTTTATAA